GAAATCAGACTATACAATATAGACCGGTATGAGTGAAATGTTAGGTGAACTTGTTAACACTTTGATTCAATACGCAAATAAAAGTGAATGCGCAATAGTATGTTACAATGAGCAGCAATCAACAATGAGTATATATCCTCACTGATTAAAAAAATCTAAACGGAGGTGCATGAACTATTTGAAACCATAAGGGGTAAGTAAATATGCAATTTCGGCAAATGGGCAACTACGTACCGTACTGAATTAATAACTTCGTAGTATTTGACAAAGGCTGGCTTTCCCACATGTACTTAACAGTGCGATGCCCGGGTGTGATATACAACAATAGTATTCACCTTACCTTTTACCGATTTCTTCTTACCCCAACTTTCAAAAATATCATTAAAATCGACAACAACTGTCAAAGCAGGCACGAACACCATTCGTGCTACGCCTCGAAAGCAGCACACATCCGCTCGTTTTCGTCTCGTCAAGTATGTGCATTGGAGCGTGCTATCGAATACGATCTTCGGACAAAAATGCCGGAGTTGCGCATCATGTTGTTTAATGTCATTGGTGTGACAGAGTGTAGTCGTCTGAGTGTTTCGGTTAGATTGGTGGGTTTTGAATGTCTGTGTGAATGCCTCTGGTTTTCAGGGATGTTTGTCTGTGTTGTGTGAGTGTCGGATGTTTTGTGCTGGACAGTGGGCTGACGTAGGGACCATGTTATTGTTTTTACCAGTACAGTGCCATTCCAGTTCATTTACCGTAGTGTTGTATTTTTAGTTTTATCGTGGAATTAGCTTTCATCAGTATTGTTCAAATGTTGTGCACCTATAGAATTGTTCATAGTCTTTTTAAATGCCTGTCATAAGTTACTTTCGGCCTGTTTTGCAAATTGCAGTAGCTAGTTTATTGTACCAGATTCTAGGAGTCATTTGGTTTTTATTCAGAGCTGTCTTGGATTTCAGGGTTTGTCAGTGTTTTTGTTGTGTATGTGGTCTTTCTTGCATTTTACTGCCTGGTATCTGTTATTTTTATTTTATGCTTTTCGTTCCTTTGGGGAGTGTTTGGTTGTTTTGGATCGTTTACTGTTCGAGTTGTTAATAAATGACATAAAATAGCATAAAGACTTGGACTATTGAGAGAAAACTTGACGTCAGATCATATTAGAAGATATTCTGAACCTGGATAATTATTTCATACATTGCCGGTACGCTACAAAGGAAAGCAGTTACATGCATATTTCAACAATGTGTGTAATTACACCGGTATGTCTGAAGAAGTCTGACCTTGGTCAGACGAAACGTCACATAAATATATTTGTGTTAGTGTGCAGCAAGACTCTTGAATCACTTAGAATTATCTCAGTTAACTTGGGTATTTTTGCAACCCAATTATTACAGAGGGTACTACAGGCTAGGACAGGGGTGGGCAACCTTTTTTTGACTCGCTTGCCAAAATCGGCTAAACAAAACTCTTCCGCGTGCCGGCTAAAATTAAAAACAAGCAAAGATACACAATAAAAACCTTTTAAACATGTACAGACAGATTCACTATTCGGCGAAATATCAGTCCGACAAATGGATTTGATTACTTTTCATATTCTATATCAGCGAGAATTCTGCTGCTGCATACCGCTGATAGAGATTTTACATTGGGTTTATATTTTGTAACTTTCAGAGAAATACACGAACTACTCACTACTGGTTTCATCTTTCAGACTACTCCTATTCCGAGACTTGATGAAGTTCATAACTGATAACAGAGATTCACAAGCACATGTGGATGAAAACATAGAGAGTAATGCAGTTGCAAAGTTTTCAAGAATCAAGACATGAAAAATTTTCGGGAATGGCATTTCAATCACGCAATAGTTCGTTTTCTGCACTTCTCTCTTGTATTCCCTTCCCTATTGCTCATATTTTTTTCGAAGCCAATTTATAACAAATAAAAGTTGATGCTGAGGGCAGGGGTTCAATAGCGCAGTCAATATTCGAATATATTGCAATGCAATAAGGAAATAAAATTCATATTCTATTCGAGAGATTCATCACTGCTTGATTTTTGTGAGAATGTATCACTTTGATGTTTGGAAGTACAGATTTGTGCAAACAATTATTTTCGAAAATGAACATTACAAAGAACAAGCAAAAAACTGGGATTAGGGATTCCCGTTCAGAAAATGTTCCAATATTAGCGTCGTAAAGCTATCCAGCGTGATGCGGCAATATTAAATGTCATTGTAATATTTTTTTAATAACACGACTGTGTTGAGTTCCCGAATTGTCGCAGTTTTCGCGCGCTGTTCCGTTTTTAATTTTCAAAAAATATATGCGACCCGCAAAAGACTAGCAACCCTGAATTTTGTCCTGCGAGTGACATAAAATTTGCCGACCCCTGGGCCGTAGCCGATAGTCGGTCACGGCTTCTTCCACATCCGATTCCATGAATCCAAAAACAAATGGCTGATTAATTATGGATCGGACTGGAGGCCGTGGTAGGATGAGTAATCGGGGATGAATTTTACCGACGTATTTTGTTGCAAGTCATCAGGCTGTAGGAATGAATGAGATGTACGAAAATTATTATGAGTTATTGAAAATTAACTTTGTTTTCATTATTTTAATGTGAATGGGGTGAATTTAGGGAGTGAAATGCTATAAGGCAAGAGTGCGCGGCGGATTTTGAGGAGGTAGAACCCTGGATTCTTTCATTTCCGACCTATTATATATATATATGGTGAAAAAGGGGTTTTCAGCCGTGCTACTATTGCTATCAAAACAACGAAATCGCCATTCCACCAGTAAACGGGGTAATTTTAGATATAATAAAAAAACTCGCTGAAGAACACTAAGCTCATCTATCTCATCGAAAAACACTATAAACTATGATTTGTCCTCTTATTTGGTCTGTAATATATTCGTTTCTGACCTTACATTTTTTGTATTGCCGGGGGGCGATGAAGTTGTATAAACAACTGTAGGGGGGCGATGGTCAAAAAAGTTTGGGAACCACTGTACTAAACTACGAGTCCATTCTCTTTCTTTACTTTCCACTTCGAATGCGTGAGTGTCCGATGAGTTTATTATGGTGTATTTTATTAATGCAATTTCAATAGAATGCAATTTAATAAATGCAATAAAAATTTATAGTCAATCAACATTAAACATTTGAATTTGGTGTCGTCTTAAAATAAAAAAAATGTTCTTATTCCAAAAACCAGTGTATAGTGCAGGAATAATTCGCGGCACACCTATATCACAAAACGGGAACATTTCCTACTCTTGAAGCCATTTAGCTATAAAATAATAAACAAGAGAGCTATGCTCAAATATATGGACACGTAGCGCCACCCAATGGCAATAATTTTGATGACGTCATAGCGAAAAAAAATATAGCCTTCTGGAGGAAGATTTTATCTTTAACCACTGAAAATTTCAAAGCAATTGGTCCAATATTCGAAGAGAAAAGCAATTTTTTTAAAATGGAGACAAATAATAATAACAAGAGAGCTATGCTCAAATATATGGACACGTAGCGCCACCCAGTGGGAATAATTTTGATGACGTCATAGCGAAAAAAAGTAATAGCCTTCTGGAGAAAAATTTTATCTTCAACCACTGAAAATTTCAAAGCAATTGGTCCAGTATTCGAAGAAAAAGGCGCTTTTTTCAAAGCTTATCAAAGAACAAGGACACTAAGAACAACAACAACATAATATTGAAATGATCGATATTTCCACTACGTGTCCAACTATAATATTGAAACGATCATTATGTCCACTAAACGTGTCCAAAAACATGGAAGATCAGATAAGGGAAATTCTATTCTTGTTTATACAACATACCCTGTATTTAAAATAGATGGTTAATAGTTACCGATAATATAACTGTTTTCTGACGATGTACACGAGACCCACCCTCGAAGCACCTCACATTATTGTAAAAGATGAGCGGCCGTACGGCTAATACGTGACGCGAATACGCTTTGGTTTTTCTCGCCCTTCCCCGTTCCACGTTACGCCTTATTATTATCACAGGTATTTTCACTTTTGCACAACCTAATTCATTTTTGTTACAATTTAATATGTTCCTCTCATTGTCAAAATTATTCAATGGTGGAAAGAAATGAAAGTGGCAAACACACCGTATTCCATTACAACAATTATTTATTATCGCTAAAAACACTAAATAGGTTTAAAGTTGTTATAAACAATTTTCACGAATGGACGAATCTTTTCACGTTATGAGTTTCGTCTTATCGGCTTTCCTCTCCCCCGGGATAAATATGTAAATCCTAACTTTCGTCATCCAAATTAATTTCGTTTTATTTTAACCGATACAAGTGCCGTGAACATAAAAAACATTGGTGCTCTCGTTGATTACTCATTAGTCTTTAATTAATACTACTCGAACTGTAGTTGAATAGTGTGTGACTGGAATTCACGATCCCATTTTGGTAACGAAACTGAAAGTACGTTATAGCTGTAACTCGACACCTCTGCTCAGTTATTTAAAATTTGCATTGGAGTGATTAAACGGTATGAAAAATACTATTCTGTCCGTGAACACTAACTATCCGATGATGACATTAAGAGTGGTACAGAAGGACAAGTTACTAGTAATGGAAAGTGTTCGGGATTTCATTTTACACGGTATAGCCACGTTAATTGGATAACAATTCAATAGTTCAGGCCTCAATGACGGATTGGGTTGAAGAATCCCTCTTCCATACTCAACGAGATCCTGGATACGCCGCTGTTAACATACACGAAATGACTGGGTTTAATATATTATTACATATTAAGAAGTAGTGTATTCGAGATGCCTTTTTATATTCATAATACCATCAACGATTTTAAACAATATTTCGAGGCAACAAGTTAAACTCATTTATTTTTCTTTCACATCAAAATTTTTATTTATAATTTTTACATATAAAATAAGCAACTAAAAAAAAATTAAGTGAATATGGCAGTTCCTCTGTTTGAATTATCCCTGGTGGGAACGGAGCTAAGATTACCCGCTCGTAATTTTGCGAGTCGCATTTGACTTGATTCCAGTTGTCGCCATCGAGTTGTCTCTTGTTGTTTTCGTTCTCTAAAAAGCAAATTAAAAATGCAGGAGAATGTACCCAACATGTACCAACTTGATCACTTCAACAATCAAGATCAAAATTGTGTCAATGTCCAAGTATATTTATTACCCTGGTGATTTGGATCATATAACCATTCCTACAACTAACTGTGATCTAATTTTCCACACTTACTTCCGTAATTTCGGTTACGCGCTAGAATTGACAATAACTGTGTTTTCCTATGCACTTACAATTGATGACCATTAAGTGCATATGGCGTTAGCTATTTGTATTCGGCTCACTTTTGTGGAAATTAAGAATCACCCCAATTCACTTTAAAATTCCTTCACGTGTATCAACATAATTCGTTTTTATTATATTTATGGGATTCTTAAACGACATTAAAAAAGTAAAATACAAAAACAGCAATGATTTCTGTTGCAAAAATATCTCATAATATTGAATATATACTTCCTTCAAGAACAATCAAGTCCTACTGACATCATTGTGAACACTACCCATTGCCGTATTCAAAGCAGTATTGAATATACGCGTTGCTTAGTTTGGTCCACAATACTGCCCATAACGCATATAAATTTACGAATTTGTAAGTGTGAGGAGAACCTACTGTTGGGTCAGTTTTTTATCCATAAAAATGAGTCACAAAACAAGATACCGGTGGTGGATATGAAATTAATCAACAATTCAGTCGTCTTGGTATAAAAACACGATATGTAACAAATTTAGTACAAAAATTATTCAGAAAACTGAGGTAGCCCATAATCAGTGAAGGAAAATAAATATTATGTGACAGAAACTAAATTAGTGACACCCGTCGATACATCACTACTATTTCTCTGTTTGATAGTTCCTTGAACCTTGGTTTTTTGCTTCAAAAATGGTAGCAATCTGATCTTCCAGTCGCCAAATGATGCGATGACACAAACTGTTGCTATTAACAACATGAAGTCGTAAATTAATTGACGAAATATTGCAATTATCAAGTCTGAAACAAGCATAGTTATTAGTGCACCAATACCATCGCAGCAAATCGTGATTGCTGCCATTATAGTTGTTCTTTTTAATAACTTCATCATACCGGAACAATCTGCATTAATGTCCTTAGATTCGTGTTTATGCCTGAGTAATGGATAGGCAAAGAGTCCCATCAAAATTATTTGAAATGTTGCGGTACACGAGAATAGAAACACGCCTGGTAGTTTCTTTGGAATGTGAGAATACTCCACCTTGCACCCAGTGGGTGAGCTTTTGTATCCCCGTGTTGCAATAAACAGCAAAATGCCTACCGCGTCTCCAACACCCATTATTAGCACTATTGAAAAGCTCAGGATTCTTATCCCTTTATTGCTCAGATCTTTTAAAACAGGCGATTCATAAAACACTCTTTGACGCATCCAAAGTACTATATATATAGGACTGGCGCAGAATGCGTAAAGTATGTTTTTCACGACACGTAAACTGTTGCACGCTTCGTCATTGTCGAAAGAATGACGCAACTCCACGCCTTCTAAGCATTGACGTAGAACAGTAAAGACAGCGGTAATTATTATCAAATATCTCATTCTATCCGCTGTCTTATTTCTCTCAAACTTTATCCTTCCTCGATGTCTGGATCTTTTCAAAGATCTTTGTTTGATTTCGAAGTTCACACTCATCACTTTCCACTCGTACATAAGTGTAACAATGAGAATGTAAAGGCTCCAGACCAACAGAAAAGATGCAAATACAATTGCTGCCAACCACTGACGAAATATTTCATGTTCACTCGGATGATGACCCGTTTTGTTAGAAGTAGTAGACTGATCAGAAATATCCATACCTGCCGCTCAAATATTAAAATTAATATTTTAGTTCTGAATTAAATCACTAAATAGCATATCTCTTTATAATAATATTTCTCAATTGAAGTCATACAAATTGTGTAAAAGTCGATTGAGCAAATAATTAGTTTATGTTTATTCATACACAGGAGTCCTCTAGTATCGAACTTTGATTTAATTATGAATAACTTCGAGCTAAAGTACACTTTCGACATCTTATTTTGATAGAAAAACGATGTGCACCATTGCATCTAAGCAGGGGTGTGCAACATTTTTGTGGGTGGGCCATATAACCAATTTCAGACATCTAGATGAGCCACACAAAAAATTTAGTTCATAACAAATTTGAAACGAATTGAACAATAAACCGAATTAAAATTACAATAACAAAGGGACCGGGCAAAACGGCGAAAGATTTGATGTGGCGACAAGAGCAAAAAACATTTTGTGTTTTTTTACCCATTTGGACGCCCTTTTAAACGTAGGCGACACTGTCAGATTAGGATTTTATTGTTGATGGAGAGTGTTGACAAGAGTCACATTAAATGGCTTGGAGGGCCGGGTTGTGGCCCGCGTCCGCCTATTGCACAACCCTGATCTAGAGTCTAGGAAAGCGTTTCCCAACCTTTTTTGGGCGCGGACTATTTTCTCACCGGCGAAAACCTTTGCGAACGCAAGGTGCGTTTATTGCAAGTTATTAGTTTTGATACATATTTTTCGCGATCTTGCGAATTTGTTATCGCCCTTAGAAAAATCCTACTATCTGCTATAAATTTCCAGAAAGTACAACTTGATTTAGTATCTATTAAAAATATATTTAAAGTATATTAGAAAATCAAAAATGCATATTCATCGCTTTGCTTTATTATAAATTAAATTGTGATCATTTTAATCTGCGGTTGTGTTGACCGAATAAAAGCAGTACTACTCAGAAAATATCATGACAATCTGTGAACACAAAAATGCGTGGTAAAATGCCCGATTATATTTTGTTTTGATTCGTATTTTTGTGAATTCGACAAATCTGAGCTGTTCGCACAACACTAACGGCAGTACTGTACGTACCAATGTGAAGGCAATAAAGAAAATAATCCTAGGGGGAAATGCCCTGGTATGGTAGCACCCGAAATGTTGCGGTTTTCAATGTATGAAAAAGCGTTTTTAATCGGTCGCAGACCATCATAAAACAAAACTTATGGTGTTCTTCATTTTATTTTTAGTATTTTGTATTGCCGCTTTTCAATTTAGAAAATTTGAAAACCTACCAGAAAAAAAAATTATTCTTCGTTGTTCGAACTCGCTAGAAACACCACTTAGGAATCTATCGAAGCTTGTGCACTCTCGTTTTTTTTTTGTCGGAATTCGCAAGTGAGTTGTGAAATCCAATTGTCTGATAAAGCGCAAGTGACCTTTCGCGTCACCTGTTACCAAATTTTCGAATAGTAAATTGCTATTCTGATAGTCGAATATATGCTCAGCCATACTCAGTAACAAGTAATTATTGACTCGATTAATGTTATGTGACTAAACTTGCTTTTTATGTTTTATGTAAATAGTAACGTGGCTGATAGTTAGGTTTCGCAAAAACGTTTGCGGCCCGCAGTGAATTTCTGGCTTGTTGCGGATTCATTCAAACGCTCCGTGGACTCATTTGAGACCGCAAACTCGGGTTGGGAAACACTGGTCTAGGAACTAACCTATTATGGGCAAACGATTTTGCTTGCTACAGGCTGTTTCCTCAATGGTAAACATTTTAACAATTTTTAATTTTTTTAAATCCATATAGATCTAACATCTTGGATTACACAATCCAATCGAAAACATACGGACAAGTTGTACGTTTTGTTTTCGCTTGTTATACGGAAACCCTCAAAACTGCTACCCCTAGCGTCACTGGCTACGCAAATGATATGCAAGAATATGTTTTTATTAACCGAAACCTTTTCTGACAGACGAAAAAATTCGTATCGTTGAGCCCTATACACCACCACAGTGCTTAATACTTCTTAAATGTGATTTGTATCCTACACTCTCTGATGATACAACTATTGTTTCTATTAATTGCATCATGTAATATCACTTACAACAAATTCGTCATAAGGCAGAGGGTTTGAAAGTGACACATCGGCTAAATGAGATTTATTCTTTATATGACCCCGGCTTATTCTATTATCCTCTTACATATCTGAACAGGTATATACCACTCTGTGCGAACATGACGTGTGGCAGGCAATTGGCTTCTCCAGTGGACTAAAGTAAATGACTAACCTTGCGGAAGTCGAAACCAGAAGCCAGATTAAAATAATATTTCTCTTACGATGTAACCTGCAAATATTCGTCATCCCACGTAGGCATGACCTTTTTGCAATGGAAACTAAATATGAAGTTACTTGTACGCAATTACACTCTAAGGACTAAAATGTCGATTTGTTTAAAAATCCGAATATATATATACTAAATTACTATATACATTTTTCATTGTATTGGCGGTGTTCGAACAATATGAATTCATATCGGAGACAATGAGAGAGCGGTGACTGAATCAGTCGTGGTAATTTCATAATTTTCGAAGGTGCCATTTTGATAAGCGACTCATTGTATAATACAACTACGTAATCTCGCTTGCTCGGCGCTGTGGCACATGGTGCTAGGCGTTGGGAATACGCTTGCCATCGCACCACTGATTAGTAATTACCCTGCGTTGGTTCACATAACAACTGATCGGTTACGGGAAAATATATAAATCCTATTCTATGCTATCGTAATCTTAATCGCATACCTAAGTGGCACCAATTGTGGTGCCACTTTGGAAAGCATTAAATTTTATAAACATGTTCTTATAGCATTCGGTTCCTAACCATAACACCCTAACATCGTTGGGTTTGGGTTGAATCAGTGGTTCCCGACCTTTTTTTTTTTATGTCGCGGCACAATATTAAGCTATTTAAACATTCGCGGCACACCTATAACACAAAACGGGAACATTTCCTACTCTTGAAGCCATTTAGCTATAAAATAATAAAAAACATAGAAGATCAGATAAGGGAAATTCAATTCTTGTTAATACAACATACCCTGTATTTAAAATAGATGGTTAATAGTTACCGATAATATAACTTTTTTCTTATGATGTACACGAGACCCACCTTCGAAGCACCTCACATTATTGTAAAAGATGCGCGTCCGTACGGGTAATACGTGACGCGAATACGCTTGGGTTTTTCTCGCCCTTCCCCGATCCACGTTACACCTTATTATTATCAAAGGTATTCTCACTTTTGCACAACCTAATACATTTTTGTTACAATTTAATATGTTTCTCTCATTGCAAAAATTATTCAATGGTGTAATTCTCGGCACTAGCGAAAGAAATGAAAGAGGCAAACACACCGTATTTCATTACAACAATTATTTATTATCGCTAAAAACACTAAATAGGTTAAGTTGTTATAAACAATTTTCACCGATGGACGATTCTTTTCACGTTATGAATTTCGTGCAAGGCCCGAGCATAATTTGATCGTAGCATTTACTATGTCGAAACGCTTATTCGACTTTTCAAGAACGCAGAAACTATTTGAATAATAACCGTTTCTGTGTTCGAGATATGATAGAATATTTTTAACAAATTGTCGAATATCGGGTATTTTTAATACACATACAACGAACATCTAGAATGCTAGGCATTCAATGTTGGTGAGCTTTTTTCACATTTTTTACAAGGACTACCTCTTACGCAACGTTTGATTTTATATTCATGGGAGAACTATGCGTTCAAATGGGCATTTTCTTAAATAGTGAATAAACACCCTGCAAAGTCATCGCGTGACTCCTGAATGTTATTTTGAGTTTAAATGGTAATTCAATAAATCGGCAATAATGGCAATTGTACTAGTCAAATAATAATTCTTTGGACAAATTTGGAAAAAATTTCGCACAAAAATATGTTACTTTGTTTGACATTTGTTTGTTAGCAAAAGGCGTGGGAGCCGTTCTTGTGGAATTCAAGGGATTGGAAATTGGAACCACTTGAATTAAATATAAAAATGAAATCTCTTCGCGGCACATCAATGTTCCACGGCACCCAGGTTGGGAACCACTGGGTTGAATTAATACTAAAAACTGGCAACTTACCGACTTTTCGATGAATGTGAGGTGAAGTTCGAGTGAGCGCTAAAACTCAACAGAAACAGTCACACACGTTACGGTACTTACATAATTGTGTTCTGAATGGCTAGTTCAGAGTTTTGGCACAGGCTCACTTACTAATAATCTTATCGATTGATTGCTGACGGGAGTCTATGGATAACCTTCAGCGGTCTTGCACACTGACCCGCACCGAACGATTTACAATCACTGTTAAATTATTATCCTCATTGACTTATGTTTATGGTAGTGTTGACACTTTATTTTTGGGATAATAAATATATCATTCTCTCTCTCTCTTAGTTACAAGTTAATGGCTGTACTTAAGACTATAATCCACCCCAAGACAAAATGTGATTCTGAATTAACGGAGTCGTCCTCGTCGGAATGAGGATCGATTAAGAAATTTTCTGATGCTGACTCAGTCACGCAACGTAATTATACCACGTAATTTCTGCGTCATATCTAGAAGTAGAACTTTCGTCATCCAAATTAATTTCGTTTTATTTTAACTGATACAAGTGCCGTGAACATAAAACATTAGTGCTCTCGTTGATTACTCATTAGTCTTCAATTAATACTACGCGAACTGTAGTTGAATAGTGTGTGACTGGAATTCACGAAACTGAAAGTACGTTATAGCTGTAACTCGACACCTCTGCTCAGTTATTTAAAATTTGCATTGGAGTGATTAAACGGTATGAAAAACACTATTCTGTCCTTGAACACCAACTATCCGATGATGACATTAAGAGTGGTACAGAAGGACAAATTACTAGTAATGAAAAATGTTCGGGATTTCATTTTACATGGTATAGCCACGTTAATTGGATAACAATTCAATAGTTCAGGCCTCAATGACGGATGCAATATTTTGTGTAAACAACAATATATGCATGTTTTTGAACCAATACATGTACTATCGGCGTACCGCCAATGATGGGAGTCAGAAGTTTGATTTTTGTATCGAATTCACCAACAGACAGTTTCCTTCATTACAGAAAATATATGTATGTCAATACTTAAGTTACATCAACATGACACGCTATGCATAAATATAATATAACTTTCGAAACGCCAAATATTACAGCTGTAGTGCGTGTTACCTATATGCTGCGGTCAGCTAACGTTCAAAAACAAAAATTGATGTCAAAAACTTTTGGGTTGAAGAATCCCTCTTCCATACTCAACGAGATCCTGGATACGCCGCTATAAACATACACGAAATGACTGGGTTTAATATATTATTACATATTGAGAAGTAGTGTATCGAGATGGCTTTTTATATTCATAATACCATCAACGATTTTAAACAATACTTCAAAGCAACAAGTTAAACTCATTTATTTTACTTTTTACATCAAAATTTTTATTTATAATTTTTACGGATAAAATAAGCAACTAAAAAAAAAAAATTAAGTGATTATGGCAGTTCCTCTGTTTGATTTATCCCTGGTGGGAACGGAGCTAAGATTACCCGCTCGTAATTTTGCGAGTCGCATTTGACTTGATTCCAGTTGTCGCCATCGAGTTGTCTCTTGTTGTTTTCGTTCTCTAAAAAGCAAAATAAAAATGCGGGAGAATGTACCCAACATGTACCAACTTGATCACTTCAACAATCAAGTTTAAAATTGTGTCAATGTCCAAGTGTATTTATTACCCTGGTGATTTGGATCATATAACCATCCCTACAACTAACTGTGATCTAATTTTCCACACTTACTTCAGTAATTTCCTCGTCCTTGTTGCAGATGAAGGTGTAGGTTTTACTTCTAGTTCCCTTGACAACTTCAATCGTTCGGCTTTTTTGTCCTCAAGCTGTTTCTTCAATTTCTGTAAATTTTCATCACTCTCAAGATCTCTCTTCTGTCTGTCTGCTAATTCGCTTTGTTGTTTTGCCCTGAAGCAAAGGGCATATATATAAACATATTCGGTAATTTTAAATAGTTTGCTATTATTGTCAAAACAACCCAATAGTGGCACAGTTTTCATTATCCATATAGTTGGGAGTTCTACACTGAAGTGCGGTGGAGTTATGGTGGCCAATTCTGCACTTTATGACTACCTGTCGATTGCAATGAAATCTCTCATTCAAATGTATGATAATTTATGTTTATGTGCGGGAAGCCTTGGGACCACGAGTAAACCAGAATTAATAATAAAAGTACATGGAGACAAAAAATGAGAACTCGCATGATGAAATGAAGAAGTTTATCAATATTGGCGATTTTATCATACCATACTTTCAAATATCTGGATTTTTTGAATAGCATTATGGTATTTTAGAAAATTAGAGTGGTGCTGAGAAATTGGAGTATATACTTTTTTATTAAGGTACAGTGATATACCAAACTTACTTCATTGCTGCTGCTTTTGTCATCTCTCTTCTATGAACTGAGATGCAAGCAAGATTTTCCATTAATCTGTCATTTTTAGCTTGTTTTTCTTGTATATTTGCATCTCTCCTTTGTTCTTCAACAGCCTTTTTCTCTTCTTTCAACAAACTTAGTCGTTCTCTCAATTCAACAATTGACATCTCGGATAGCAGAGCATGACCGGCAGTTGCAGTTAGATCAACAAGTTTATTTCTGTTTTAAAAATAGATTTTATATCGTTGAAAAAGCAATGTTTTTTCATATTGAAAGATATTTTCTTACATGCAACGTTTCTAGGAAGTGTATTATTATGTAAACGTGATTTCGATGGACTCGTAAATTCTCTGTAAATTCAAGGAATACAGTCAATGAGACTTATAATTGCAATGCAAATATGGTCTGTTATATATTTTGGGTTCAAACAGGTCAGTCCCATTATTCAACTTAATTTGAGACATCACCTAGGGTGTAAGAGGTTGGGAAAGGTGCCGTATGTTAAACCACAAGTGTTCCAGCTTTGTTCACAGCAAAAACATAAATTACCTGTTAATTGGAATAGATTCCATTGCACGAATTTCTTGGATGAGTTCGATTTTTCTTCTCATTTCTGCCTCTGCATCTTCTAGTGCTTGCTTCATTAGTTCTCTACTTTGTGCATTTACATCTTGAACTAGAATTGGCAACAGAAGATGAATATCAGAAGTATGTCGAAAGATGGATTTCTACTTCGCATTGATAACTAAATCCACAAGGACACAAAGAAGACAAAACATTCTTCAACAAAAACCGCTCATGTTAGTTTGTAAAAGTTTCAAGAGGACGAATAGGCAAGATCATTTCGGTGATGCCTAACCAATATACATTAGTTACATACATTACTCCCTGGGCGGCGACCAACGAGGATGGGATTTGAACCCAAGATTTTCAACTTGGGATGCCAACGCTTTAACTGCAATGTCATCACATGCTTGCAACATACACATTTGAAGTGAATGCATTTACCTAATTTTCTTTTATATTCCTTCAATCTTTCTTTCACAATTTTAGTATTTTCATGCCCAGCCATGATTTCTTCAACTAAGCTTCTCATTTGATCTTCTTCTTCCATCCTTAAAGTTAGAAACTCTTGCATCATTTCTGCAGTCTCCATCTTCATTTCTGTCACCTGGAAACAGTATAAAAATTTAATGAATTGAAGAAAAGAATGGAAAATAACAAGATTTGATTCTGACAAATTACTTCAACATACATTCAGTTACCAAAAAATAAAATAGTACACCATACCCATAAATTAAACTCATGACCTCAATTCCATATGGTACTGCATAGAGCTGAAAATTTAACTTAGATTTTTTTTCAGAACCATCAGCAAAGTACCTGTGGCTGTGATGCTCTAACACAATAAGGTAAGCAAGCCCAAATCACTTCATCTTAAGGCATCTGTATTGTACACTATATTCCTGGGTGGTTGTGGAGAGATATTTTTTCAAACTGATACCGAAATAACAGATACATACATATTCAAGTAGCATTGTAGTAGTATTTGTTCTATTGTACAAAGAACCATTACCTTTTCTTGATTTTCTTTGGCCTTGCGTTGCCTTGCAATGATTGCTTCTTCTCTGCTTAATTTTCCTTGCATTCTTTTACGTTCCAGATCAGTTTCCTTTTGTTTTCTGTCTTTTTCTAATTTTTTCTGTTGCCAAGATTCAAATTCTGAAGCATCTTTTGCACCATCAAGAAGCTTTTCTAGTCTGTTGAATAGAAAATCCAATACTTATGTCTGGTTTAACACACTTGTTTAATACACGTTCACTTTAATCAGTTGTTGAAAATGATATATTCATTTTAAAAACCTACCTGTTTTAAACTTGTTTTCGGAAAAACTGAAATGGCGAAAATTGAATATTTACCTACTGTTACATCATTAATCAAACCAAAAGGAGGGAACTTGAAAATACGGTTTTAAGAAAATGAAAAAATATATATATATTTTCTAATTTCACTTCAAACTTTACATTGAAATACTTTGTTGAATATTGCTTCAAACTATTGTCAGATACCAGTTTAAGAAGCGTCTTTTCTTTGTTGAACTTCTTTGTAATAATATAAAATAAATTTTTTTTATTAAATTTTAACATTCGCCCTGTTGTCTCAAAACCCTATACAGTTTTGCTATCATGCACCACAAATATAGAAACCACTGGTGATTTGAACATTTACCGTAGTTTTATTCTATTTTTAAATGAAAATCTGAAGTATTAGACATACTTGACTAACTCTTCGCCTTCTTTTTTTCTAAACAAAGCTCCTTCTCTTAAAATTGCTGCAGCATTCATTTTGATTGGTCGATTCTGCGTCTAAAAATATAGATATAAAATTTCAGAACAAGTGACAATAATTTGGCCATCAGTAATCAGTAATTTATTTTTCCACCAATACTGAAAATACGCAACATACATATACGAGCAGAATAAGATGAGAGTAATAGTATTATGCTACCTACCATGCTCTTTGGAATAGGTTGTGAATGTCGTTTATTGAAATTTAATTTTGCTTCTTCTTCTTCTCTTATCCTGTTCATAACCATCTGGAATAATTGAAGGATACAGTGTTTGTAAACTCATATAATGTGGGATTGATTGGCATGCAACTGGTCCAAATCATTATATTGGTATCACAGTTTAGAGAGCTTGGTTTTTATCAACCTTCTATTCTACACATTCCGGTGACGGCTTGTATTCAGGCTTGTTTATTGTGAAGGCAAAAACTTTATCAGTTAGTAAATATTTTCCATCAATATATCCTCAAATTCCTCCATGCTTTAATATAATCAAGGTCCTAGATCTATTTAAAAATTTTTAGAAATTGTCATGGAAAGTGTATGGAAATTTTTACATTAGCTCTTGTAGACTTTTCTGCATTAGCACACTTGAATTGATCTGATTCTGTTTCCAATAAAAACTCTTCAGCTTTTTGTCGATTTTCTTCTCTGATTCTTGCAAGGTTTTCTATTTCTTTTGGTTGCCTGCAATTTGAAATGCACAATCATACATATGACTTCATGTTGTATTCAGGGCTGGGCTGAAAGCCTTCATGTGTACGCAGCTGGACCCCAGTTCCGACTTGAAAAAATGAAGTTCCAGAGCTGGAGCAACAGTTTGAATATATTGTGACTCCGGAGGCCAACCCACTATGATTTCGAACCAGTTCCCCAGTTCTGACCGTATCTACGGTACATCCTTTTTTGTACTTTTTTTAAAATAAGGAATGGAAGTTGAAAAATTTGATTTCAAATATTATAAAAAATTTAATCTTTATGTATTAGTATATTAAGTTAAAATTTTGATTACCGGTAGATTTATTACAAAAAATTCAAAAGTGTCATAAATATTCATACAATGTTTACTGGTTGAGTAAACCTTACTGGTGATTAAAATTTTTTGAAAATAATAAAAGTAATAGTCTTCTAATGACAACAACAATCTTCAACCAAGAAAGCAGTAGCGTTTTTTTCAATTACAACATACGTAAGCGAGAAAAAGAATTCCAACAACAACATAATAATATAAAATAATGGGTCCATTTTGCATCTAATAAGCTGTGCTAAATTATGGTAAATTGAATCACATTCGAAAATAGATTCTCAATTATCAGATTGGAAAAATATCCTTGTGATTTATTTTACTTCAGTGGAAGGTTCATTATTAGTGAGAAGGCTTTCCTATAGGTTTAGCTATAATATGTTTACCGTAATTCCAAGTTTAGTATATTGATAAAACAATTTGGTAATCTTTTGGTATTTAGTAATACCCTATTATTGACAGCTTGTTCAGAGTTCTATTCAGAGCAGAAAACATTATCCGAATAAAAAATACACTTTATCCTCTAAATGAGTGGGGCCTGTATTCTCTCAATACATAAAATGGATTACAAAAATATCACTCTAATAATACCTGTAAAGATGCTCTGGTACTGGTTTGTGTCTAGTCAATTTTGGAATTTTATCTGGCATGGGTACACCTCGAGGTTTCGGCTTTGTGATATTAAATGGTTGAGGATTAGTCAATGGAACATCTGTTTTTTTCAGTGGAATTCTGTTTTCAACAACAGCTCTGAGATATTCGACATGTTCATCCAACTGAGGCTTCCACCTTATAGAGAGTGAAAAAGTGAATTTTAAATGATAAATTTTAAATAGCTCAAACACTGGAACGTAGTATGTGTGCTAGGTTAGGGTTAGGCCATAATTTTATTCTAATTTTCCTTATTTTAGTTCCATTACGAATTCGGGGACTAGCCAAGTGACTCTCGTAGTATTTGTACCTGAAATTATGGCCAAACCCTAACCTGGTACACATACTACATTCTGGTGTCCGCCATCTTGGTTCACATAATTCAGAATTTATTTTATGGGTAAAACTATGAGTATCAACTAAAATTCAATAAAGTCAATAAGATTTTTTTCAGCATGAGTCTATAACGGATACCGTATATCTTAGCTTTCTCATTATGCAAATCCCTAACTATGTCCACTCATACAAATTTATAATTGGCACTATGAAAAGCCATATTTCACATAATTGAAGATCGAAATATATATTGAAGCATAAAAAACATACCTTATCAGTGGCAGCATAATTTTTTCTTGAACATATTGACTATCATATTCCTTACACCATTCACTGTATATCCAAGTGTCTAAATTTGCCTCAGAGAGAAAAAATCTCAGAAATCTGGAAAATGAAAAAGAAAATATATAAAACTGATATATAAAATTGAATTTAGGGCTTAATAATTATAATAAATAAATAAATTCTACTAAAAATATTTTTCCCTGGTCGTTTGTAATATGTATGAGTAATAGATGAGCAATTGTAAAATAAAATTATATTTCAATTTTTATCAAAGTATACTTATGAAAACCACTTACTTATACATTTTGTTGACATCTTGTGACTGTATGAATTTCTTCATATGTGACATACCGAGTTCATCCAACCGAAATAAAATCAGATAACAGAGAACATTGAATAAATTTGTATCTGAAGCCAAACTATTTCTCCCTGGAAATAATTCAATCAGAATTAGAAAAAAATATATATATATTCAAGTGACATAATCGGTGTTGAAGAACATAATCTTCGTATTATCATCGATATAAAACAGAAAGTATTTATTTTCAATCTAATATATTATAAAATAAGTGAAATCTAGGGATATCATAGATCAAGGATAGAAAATATTAGAAAACACAGTGTACAAAGGAAAGATGTTATCATCCAGTCATGAATCACTAGAATTATTCAGAAAAAATTTTTGATAGATAAGATTTACATGATTTTCTTACCATCAAGAACATGGAAGCCATCAACAACAACCTTAATTACTTTGCGGAATTCAAAACATCCAGAAAATACTTCAACAATGAAAGTATGGTCATCATCATTCAGTCCCTGGAAAAAAGAAAACCATTTATAACAATGAGCGATAATTTCCCGAATATAAAAGGATAGACAATAATAATGAAGCTGGGAATACTAAGATAAAAAATCTGATGTTCTGCCCAGATTATTTAGTTTGTGACACCATTTTGTCCAACCATCTTGAAACCAGAGGTATAAGAATGCTCGAATATAAGCATTGATATGGATGAATGATAGGATAAAACTAAGTATAAGCATTGTTAAATCAATACCATACTTAAATCTTGAATTATCATACCGGCCTGCGTTTGAGAAAGTCTTTGATGAATTCTTCCACACTCTGATCATCGGAACTAAATATGTTAAGTGCTTCAATACATATTCTTAGTAGTTCTTTGTAAGACAACATCTTCGATTGATAAAATTTTCATAAATATTATAAGATTACCAGTTTCTAGAATTAGAAATCTTCAAAATAATACATTGTCTGATTGAACATACACAGCAACAAATAGCAGTTATGAATTCTCAGCTGTTTCATAAATGTAAGTTTTACCTGTACAAAATTAATGGATGGAATTGTATTGCTTAATTTTGGAATTACACTCCTACAAATATTTCTACACTATGTAAAGCTTTGTTTTCTCACAATGAAACAGCTGAATAGACACTTTTACTATAAGGATAAAGCTATCCTGATCAAGGCTTACTATAATAATTCAACAACAACAAAGAACAAACTAATCAAACAATCGATTCTTTATGCAAAAAATAACCAAAACATAAAATACTTTTTATAGTGGACATATTCCTGTATTTTGATATTGAGCTATTCTAAACAAATTAATGTTTTTATATTTGTGAAATGGACTATATTTTAATCCGGATTTACATGAGTTTGAGCAGGGTTATATATAAAAAACACTAAACCTGTAAACGCTGAAATGGAACCCAATCTCTGGAATTCCAGGTATATTATTGACATGAATACAGCAATACCAACTACTTCTACTCAATAGATTTCAGGATGCGATATTCTATCGGCAATATTGTCAATAAACATCTATACACTTATAAACAAGTACGGAAATGTATAGTGTGGCTCGACGGGCTAAGCGTTAGGAATACGCTCGCCACCGCACCTCTAATTACTCTGCATGGGTTCGCAGGTTCGAATCCCATGCAGGGATGGTTATGTGCGAGAGGATTGCTGGACTCCTCGCCGTCGTTGGGTGGTTCACGTAACCGCTGGTCGGTTACGGCTTCCCCTCCACCACCAAGTCCATGCTTCCGAAAACAAACAATATAACTAATCCCATACCTGACTTGGAATGGTAACCGGACGAGAGGCCGTGGTTCGCCATATGGATAAGCCGTCTTATCGGCTTTCCTCTCCCCCGGGATAAATATGTGAATCCTATCCTATCCTATCCATAATGGAATAACACAGGAACTTCCTCTGCTAAATAAGCAGTAGGTATTGATCACCATGGTAACAATTGTCAAACAATATCAACCACTTGGTGGCAATCAATTCATTTTATTTTGTCAAATGTTGTAAATTAGATACGGTACCATAACACAATATATAAAAGCAACTTTTAATCTTTTTTTTTAGATCATTTGTAGTCAATACTCCGAAATGTTATTACTTTTCGAGATCATCGCCTATTTCCAAATCATGGGCGACCGCGCGTAAAATTGTAAACATTCTGTTTTTCAATTTCAGCGGGTAGTCGTCTGCTTTGCACTCCGTCTGTCTGTCGTCTGAAGACTATAAAAGCGCCGTAGCCTATATATCAGTAATAATAATGTTAGAAATTGGCAAACAATTGTTATTTCTCAATTCTGTTATGTACAATATTTAACCATATACACTATACGGGTCTCATGTACTTTCTTACCTGAATAACTTCTAGTGGGCGTGGCGTAACAATTTTTGGATATATGATTCCTGACCCCTATCTGATGACGTCATCCAAAAATTACGTCACTGCGACGTCACAATAACGAAATACAGCTTGCCAAAGTATAGCGACGGTCACCCGTAATGGCGCCTACGAGTATGTCAACAAACTCAATACGTCAGCGACCTCTCTCTTATCGGGGTCGTTGTACAGAGCTCAAAATAAACACAAGAATCACAAGCGACTAAATTGTCGCCGAGGAACGTTCACGATATCCCATTCTGACCAATTTCTGTCCATCAATAGCTCATGTATCGTGCTACAATCTAAAATAGAGCGTTATACAATACAACTCTAACCAAGGCTTTAGACAAGCAGAAAATACATGTTATTTTACGCGATGGTTGAAGTTGGGTACCACACACATAAAGACTTATTATTTTATGTCCAGCAATAGCTCATGTATTGTGCTACGATCTATTAATAGGGTGATATACGATACCGCTCTGAGCTAGGCTTTAGACAAACAGAAAGAACATTTAATTCACGCAATGATTGAGGTTAGGTGCCGCAGACATAAAGACTTGTTATTTAATATCCAGAGACTGATCATGTATTGGGCCACATTTTATTAATAGGACGTGGAACGCTTTCACTCTATGCAAGGCTTTAGACAAGCAGAAACCGACATATTAATTTGCCTTAGCGCAATGAATGTAGTTTCTTACCTCGATAACTTATACTTATCTTAGCGTAACAATTTTTGCATATATCATTCCTGACCCTCACCTGACTTCGTCATCCAAAAATTACGTCAATGCGATGTCACAATAACGAAATCGAGCTTGCCCAATAATAGCGACCATAATGCAATCGTGATAAATACGCCTGTGTGTCCGCTATGGATGTAGTTTCTTACCTCAATAACTTATACTTATCTTAGCGTAACAATTTTGCATATAATAGTCCTGACCCTCACCTGACTTCATGTTCCAAAAATTACGTCAATGCGACTTCACAATAACGAAATAGTGCTTGCCTAATAATAGCGACCATAATGCAATCGTGATAAATACGCCTGTGTGTCCGCTATGGATGTAGTTTCTTATCAATAACTTCTAGTTAACTTAGCGAACAATTTTTGCATATATCATTCCTGACCCTCACCTGACTTTGTCATCCAAAAATTACGTCACTGCAACGTCACAATAACGAAATAACGCTTGCCCAATATTAGCGACGATTACGAGCAATGCCACCTATGGATGTAGTTTTTTACCTCAATAACTTATACTTATCTTAGCGTAACAATTTTTGCATATATCATTCCTGACCTTGCCCTGACTTCGTCATCTAAAAATTACGTCAATGCGAATTCACAATAACGAAATAGAGCTTGCCTAATAATAGCGACCATAATGCAATCGTGATAAATACGTCTGTGTGTCCGCTATGGATGTAGTTTCTTACCTCAATAACTTCTAGTTATCTTAGCGTAACAATTTTTGCATATAATATTCATGACCTTCACCTGACTTCGTCATCCAAAAATTACGTCACGGCAACGTCACAATAACGAAATAGAGCTTGCTCAATAATAGCGACGATTACTATTAATGCCACCTATGGATGTAGTTTCTTACCTCAATAACTTATACTTATCTTAGCGTAACAATTATTGCATATATTATTCCTGACCCTCACCTACTTCATGTTCCAAAAATTACGTCAATGCGACTTCACAATAACGAAATAGAGCTTGCCTAATAATAGCGACCATAATGCAATCGTGATAAATACGTCTGTGTGTCCGCTATGGATGTAGTTTCTTACCTCAATAACTTCTAGTTAACTTAGCGTAACAATTTTTGCATATAATATTCATGACATTCACCTGACTTCGTCATCCAAAAATTACGTCACTGCAACGTCACAATAACGAAATAGAGCTTGCTCAATAATAGCGACGATTACTATTAATGCCACCTATGGATGTAGTTTCTTACCTCAATAACTTATACTTATCTTAGCGTAACAATTATTGCATATATTATTCCTGACCCTCACCTGACTTCATGTTCCAAAAATTACGTCAATGCGACTTCACAATAACGAAATAGAGCTTGCCTAATAATAGCGACCATAATGCAATCGTGATAAATACATCTGTGTGTCCGCTATGGATGTAGTTTCTTACCTTAATAACTTCTAGTTAACTTAGCGTAACAATTTTTGCATATAATATTCATGACCTTCACCTGACTTCGTCATCCAAAAATTACGTCACTGCAACGTCACAATAACGAAATAGAGCTTGCTCAATAATAGCGACGATTACTATTAATGCCACCTATGGATGTAGTTTCTTACCTCAATAACTTCTAGTTAACTTAGCGTAACAATTTTTGCATATATCATTCCTGACCCTCACCTGACTTCGTCATCCAAAAAATACGTCACTGCAACGTCACAATCACGAAATAACGCTTGCCCAATAATAGCGACGATCACTAGTAATGACACCTATGGATGTAGTTTCGTACCTCAATAACTTCTAGTTAACTTAGCGTAACAGTTTTCGCATATAATAATCCTGACCCTCACCTGATTTCATGTTCCAAAAATTACGTCAATGCGACTTCACAATAATGAAATAGAGCTTGCCTAATAATAGCGACCATAATGCAATCGTGATAAATACGTCTGTGTGTCCGCTATGGATGTAGTTTCTTACCTCAATAACTTCTAGTTAACTTAGCGTAACAATTTTTGCATATAATATTCATGACCTTCACCTGACTTCTTCATCCAAAAATTACGTCACTGCAACGTCACAATAACGAAATAGAGCTTGCTCAATAATAGCGACGTTATTCGTAATGGCACCTATGGATGTAGTTTCCTACCTCAATAACTTCTAGTTAACTTAGCGTAACAATTTTTGCATATATCATTCCTGACCCTCACCTGACTTCGTCATCCAAAAATTACGTCACTGCAACGTCACAATCACGAAATAACGCTTGCCCAATAATAGCGACGATCACTAGTAATGACACCTATGGATGTAGTTTCGTACCTCAATAACTTCTAGTTAACTTAGCGTAACAGTTTTCGCATATAATAATCCTGACCCTCACCTGATTTCGTCATCAAAAAATTACGTCAATGCGAATTCACAATAACGAAATAGAGCTTGCCCAATAATAGCGACGATATTCGTAATGACACCTATGGATGTAGTTTCTTACCTCAATAACTTCTAGTTATCTTAGCGTAACAATTTTTGCATATAATATTCATGACCTTCACCTGCCTTCGTCATCCAAAAATTACGCCAATGCGACGTCACAGTAACAAAATAGAGCTGATCACCCGTAATGGCGTCTGCGACTACGTTAACAAACTCAGTGAGGGCAGCGGCCTCCCTACCACACACACATAAGGACACCACACATAAGGAGGGACTTGTTATTTTATGTCCAGCCATAGATCATGTATTGGGCTACAATATATTAATATGGCGTTACGCGATATCACTCTAAGCAGGGCTTTAGACAAGCAGAAACGGACATATTAATTTACGTGCACATTATATGGGTGTATTTTGTATTGTGCCACCATTTATCAGTGAGGTTTATATTTTAATTTGTTTTTTGTAAACTATACATTTTGGATAAGATAGTCCGGCAGATCGGGCCTTAACATTGTTTTGGGACATAAATTTTTTTTTATTGTTTAGATATAATGTATATGAATATCAATGATACCCAGGTGGGTGTGGAGTAATGTTGAGCAATTTTTTTTTTAAGCGGATTTAAAGTATTCGGTCCAAGATGACGCACATCCTGAACCCTAACCTGGTAACCATACAGTGTTCAGGTTGTGCGCCATCTTGGTACAAATACTTCAAGAGCGCCTTTTTGTTAAAAACAATTATTTCATAACTACATGGTTTAGGTTTGCATACATAGTAACATTGAATCTCCTTACAATGTCAGAAATTCAATTTTAGTAGAATAAATGGTAGTTTATTTCACTAATACAAGCCAAGATCCATCGACAGCATCTAGCCACTTTCTATTGCGCTCTTCAAACTACATCTGGCATTTCGTTTTCCTAGTTTAAGCTTAGGGACTTGGGAAATATTTTATTAGTTGAATTGGATTGGAATATTTGACCTCGTCTTTCACTCCGAACAAGGCCATGTAATACCATCCACTGGTATCTAAAGATGTGTAACGTGTTTTCTTTTGGAAGAACCGCAACCTTTCAGTGCTGCATTGACTTTGGCAAAATTAATATATCCTTGTGGAGATAGAAGGTATGCGTATGCGAAACCGAGATGTGCACCTGTTATGCCAACATAGTTGAGTCAAACGTTTTGAATACTAGTACATCACACGCATTTCCTGCGTGCTTCGGTTGTACGTGGTAACGCGCACATTTTTGCGCACATGCATCAAATTCCATTTGATTATTGAGCTATAGGTTTTTGACGAGCTTTTGTGTATGATTTCATTCCATAGAATTTGTATGCTGTTCTAAAGAATACTAGTTTCAGCTTTTTCATTCATTCAAACCGCGTGTTGAAAGTAAGTTTTGTAATATTGCGGGTTGGTTTCCAACATCCTTAAATCGGTGATGCCAGTAAATCTTTAATACAAAAAGATCAGTAACATCTGCAATAAAAACAGCAGTACCCACTCAAATGACAGCTGGGGGATGGATACTCTTAGTATCTGCTCCATCGCGTGCCTCTTACAGTCTTACCAGTTTACATGAGTGCCAATTGGTATCTAAGCTCAGCCAGAGACAAAAAGTTTCGGACTGCAGTTGGCGTGACGAAATGTTTTTAAATATATATTCTACAATAAGATTATTTGATTGCATAGTGCATACTACTGAAAGTTCCGCCTTATATGTCTTTTCCCTTTGCACTATTCCTTTACTGATATTCGATAATATGACGCTCATCTGACATAGTTCTTAAAGTGTGTAGATGGGTACAATCTTTTCCACGCTGTTCAGATGGGAATGCGCGAATATATATAAGAAATTGCTAATATTGGTTGTAATGCGATGAAATCCCATCTTAGCATTTCTGCCTCTCGCAATTGCTGCGTATACTTATCGGGGAAGTTCTGTGGCGTGGTTATCAAATAAAAAAAAACATGGAAGTATTTTTTCTACTTCTCTACTACTATCAAACCTTGACATTTTGTGAAAACTTTTTTCCATGCAACCTTTTTTAAAACATCCCCAACAACCACAATTACTTCTGTTATTAAACTTCCGAAACAAACACATAAAATCATCAACAGATGAATATCACCAAGTAGATATTGCTGAATTGATCTTATTTCACCATTTTGCATGTAATTCTTTTTGGTAAACCTGTTATCTATCGTAAATACAGCACATTTGACAATGTTGTAGTGTGACTATTTTAGCCTCACATTTTTGATATTTGTAGTTTAGAGCTCTTGGGGCTCTGTCAAAGGTGCATGATCATGTGTTGGAATAACTTGGCATTTTACCACCCGTATATCATTCATTGTTGAGAATATTATTAAAATCATAAAATTTAAAAATCCGTTTTCCGTGAAATTTTGTTGTAGCTGAATTCCAGGGACAGCATGACAACAGGCAGAGAGCACGATCGCCTCTTTTAGTTTATGACAGGGTTTCATGAAAGGGGACCCCGTCCTCCTTGGAGGCGCTGATCGGTTATCTGGGAGCACGAACAAACAGATGGAAATGCGAATATATAATAACAATGTATTTTTATAGAAGAGAAGAAGCGAAAGTGTTGAGAGTCTTTGGTAGTTTGAAAAGCATTGGCATGGAACATAAGAATGAACTACATTCTTTCCCAGGGATATTCTATAAAATGTAGCAATTTTCTCATTCTTGTTCTCGTGATATCATTATCTTTCACTGCGTCGTCGTGATCATCCCGCTGGCATAACAATTCTCGCCAACAAATAATTGACTGTTCTCCACCGGGTGTATATCCACTTGAACCACTGGCGACTACATTAGCAGGCTTGTACTGTTAATTGCAACAAAAAACGGGTATTTTGAAATAGTACTCTTTATTTTACGCGTATGTTTCGACAGTATTTCCATATACTGTATATGGGTCGCGACCCAAAGCTGGGCTCAACAAATACCTAGAAGGTATCGATTTTATTTCCTAGTAAATTTGGTGCTTGCGTAGTTTGTGCACCAAGATTGCGCCCAACCTGAACATAGTATTGTAACAGGTTATGGTTCAGGTTGTGCGTCATTATGATGCACAGGTTTGACAAAAAACACTAATACAAATATCGAGCCGTAAAAAAAGTGCTCAAGGCTGCAAACTCCACACCCATGTAGAAATGATGGGCAATGACCCCAAGATGAATACTCACAAATAAAAAAAACTTTATGTCTGAAATCAAACTTGGGCCAAAAAGGTCCCCTTATCTGCCGGACTAAGACTTTGGATGGACTTTGGATAATGAGAAACAGGCATATTAATTTACGGTCCCCCAATGAGTGTAGTGCCACATATACAAAGGCAAATATTTTACGGATCTTGACATTCTATCCCTATAGTCGGATTCGGAAGACCTTTGACACAGGGGTACTCAGATTCTCAAAAAGGACAATGAAAATATTTGAGACAGACGTGTGAATAATTATGCACTACTTTAATGTGTGCTGTATTTGTGATTTCCATTTTACTCCCCTTTCTCTGCGCGACTATGACATAGGCATTTTACTTGTTCTGATTAAAATTTGGCTTTGTTTGGTGCCTATTTCAATTTTGAAAAGCGCTATAATTTTATAGAACACCCACGTTCTACCGAAGGACAAACGTTTAGACATATTGGGTTCCTATACATAGCCGTTGCTATCATTGTATTTAAAGTTTTCTTTTTTCGGAAGTTTGTCAGAAGATGCTTCTGTGCTGAGGAAATTGAATAGATCATTTCATAAACATTAAAAACGAAATTGACAATTACTCATATAATTTACCTATTGAGCTCCTCATTGCTCATTACAATCATCCAATATGATTATAAGTTCTATTTTAAAACGTAACGACAGATAGATGAGAGATGCATCCTGGAAATTAACTCAGGATTGTGAACGAATGCTTAATTATCGATTGCGCTTGAAGTCGAATCCATTCCAAATTTCAACAGTTTAGAAAATTGAAGAGCCTATAAATATGGTCTTCTTTCATCCTTTTTCACATTTCCCCTGAATTACTTGGAGATCAAATACTATACCCACTTCCTCCACTATGTCAAATTTCTGTTAACCAATTTTAGCGAGCGAGTGTTCAAAGATCGGGTATGAGAACAGAAAACATTTTTCTTAATATTTCGCTGTTAGTGAACCGCAAGATGAAAAGGTCTGGAAACATTGTAGTGGTATTAACTTGAAGGATCTTAACATTGTTAACGTCTTATGAATAAAGGTAGGACGAATACATGACGTACGGAAGGACATCAAATAACAAGGCTTAGTTGTGTGGTACAAAAATACACTCATCGCGTACTCGCAAGCGCCATTATTACGGCTTTATTATCGTCGCTATTATTAGGCAAGCTCTAGTTCGTGATTGGGAGGATGCAGTGACGTAATTTTTTGGATGACGAAGTCAGGTGAGGGTCAGGAATCATATATACAAAAATTGTTACGCTAAGCCTAATAGAAGGTATTGAGGTATGAAACTACACCCATAGCGGACAGACAGGCGTATTTAACACGATTGCATTATGGTCGCTATTATTAGGCAAGCTCTATTTCGTTATTGTGAATTCGCATTGACGTAATTTTTGAACGAAGTCAGGTGAGGGTCAGGAATATATATGCAAAATTGTTACGCTAAGATAAGTATAAGTTATTGAGGTAAGAAACTACATCCATAGGTGCATTAATAGTAATCGTCGCTATTATTGGGCAAGCTCTATTTCGTTATTGTGACGTTGCAGTGACGTAATTTTTGGATGACGAAGTCAGGTGAGGTCAGGAATATTATATGCAAAAATTGTTACGCTAAGTTAACTAGAAGTTATTGAGGTAGAAACTACATCCATAGCGGACACACAGACGTATTTATCACGATTGCATTATGGTCGCTATTATTAGGCAAGCTCTATTTCGTTATTGTGAATTCGCATTGACGTAATTTTTGGATGACGAAGTCAGGGCAAGGGTCAGGTATATATATGCAAAAATTGTTACGCTAATATAAGTATAAGTTATTGAGGTAAAAACTACATCCATAGGTGGCATTGCTCGTAATCGTCGCTATTATTGGGCAAGCGTTATTTCGTTATTGTGACGTTGCAGTGACGTAATTTTTGGATGACGAAGTCAGGTGAAGGTCATGAATATTATATGCAAAAATTGTTACGCTAAGTTAACTAGAAGTTATTGAGGTAAGAAACTACATCCATAGCGGACACACAAACGTATTTATCACGATTGCATTATGGTCGCTATTATTGGCAAGCTCGATTTCGTTATTGTGAATCGCATTGACGTAATTTTTGGATGACGAAGTCAGGTGAGGGTCAGGAATATATATGCAAAAATTGTTACGCTAAGATAAGTATAAGTTATCGAGGTAAGAAACTACATTCATTGCGCTAAGGCAAATTAATATGTCGGTTTCTGCTTGTCTAAAGCCTTGCATAGAGTGAAAGCGTTCCACGTCCTATTAATAAAATGTGGCCCAATACATGATCAGTCTCTGGATATTAAATAACAAGTCTTTATGTCTGCGGCACCTAACCTCAATCATTGCGTGAATTAAATGTTCTTTCTGTTTGTCTAAAGCCTAGCTCAGAGCGGTATCGTATATCACCCTATTAATAGATCGTAGCACAATACATGAGCTATTGCTGGACATAAAATAATAAGTCTTTATGTGTGTGGTACCCAACTTCAACCATCGCGTAAAATAACATGTATTTTCTGCTTGTCTAAAGCCTTGGTTAGAGTTGTATTGTATAACGCTCTATTTTAGATTGTAGCACGATACATGAGCTATTGATGGACAGAAATTGGTCAGAATGGGATATCGTGAACGTTCCTCGGCGACAATTTAGTCGCTTGTGATTCTTGTGTTTATTTTGAGCTCTGTACAACGACCCCGATAAGAGAGAGGTCGCTGACGTATTGAGTTTGTTGACATACTCGTAGGCGCCATTACGGGTGACCGTCGCTATACTTTGGCAAGCTGTATTTCGTTATTGTGACGTCGCAGTGACGTAATTTTTGGATGACGTCATCAGATAGGGGTCAGGAGTCATATATCCAAAAATTGTTACGCCACGCCCACTAGAAGTTATTCAGGTAAGAAAGTACATGAGACCCCACTATACAGTAATGCGTAATGTGGTATCATCTTTATAAAAATGTAATAACTTCGCAGTTGTTAGTTTTATCAGGGTTTATGTCCACCGACGTGCGATAGGGATTTTGGATCTGGGAGCATAAGAATAGACGTGGTAGTGATTTTTTCTTGAGATGAGGCAGCAACGAACAGGACGACAGAAGTTCCAAGATCTTCGCCGTTTGACTTTTCAGGTAAATAGGGTATGGATAGTCAATAGAACTATCAAGTTTATTCAATATACAGATTAGGGCCCGACCGATACTGCCATTTTAAACCGATACCGATAGTTTTTTTCAAACTAGGCCGATAAGCCTATACCGATGTTTTCTCACCTACAAAAAGGGCTACAAGTAACAAGCAACACTCTGAGAATCTTGTTTTTCTTGCAAAAGAAATGAAATCTATAATAAAATGTTGAAATCATGCATTGATGAAAAAAAAATTGCATAAAAAGTACATTTACTCCTCTTTTTGCGAATCTAACTTCAGCAATTTTCAACGCTTTATGTTAAAAAAATTAGTAGTGTAAAGCCACAGTGCCGAGGTAAATTGTGTGCGTAGCAATAAATAACACTTATTGTAAGGGCAGGAAGCTTATGAATCTCAATTGCTTCAGTTCAACAGTCTTAGATGTAGTTGAGCAGGGTTTTTCTGCATTGGCCCCAATCATACTTGCTCTTGTGCTTTGCTTTGAGATGGCTCTACAAATTACTGTTTGTTTGTTTTTTAAACAGCAGGACTTTTTGACTTAATATTGATAAGCATATTTTACAAATTACGCCATCATTATGGCACACGAAGTATTCCCATACTTTTTCTTACCCCTAGAACCAGCTATCTGTAACATATCAATACAAGAAGTTATATCGCGCCTTGAACGACGAAAGCGCAAGGGAAAATCAAAGGCTGTGCAAAGTGGAAACGGCGAGAGTTCTTTATTAATCAACGCATATTATTTGACACAAATAAGTCGTTCACATGTTTCTCTCGCTTCAATTTGCAAGCCATCACGCTCGCAAACTCGCTTACAAAGAGTTAAATCCCGTGCCTTATGTCCGTTTTGGATAAGAGAAACATAGTCAAAAGTATTCTTTATTTATCAACGTAGGACACAAATAAGTGACTCGCGCGTTTCTCCCGCTTCAATTTACAAGTCACCACGCTCGCAAACTCACTTACAAAGAGTTATATCCCGTGACATACGTCCGATTTGGATAAGAGAGACATAGTCAAAAGCCGCTTTTTGATAAGAGAGAAATAGAAGTAACGAAGAAAAAGACTATTAGGCAGAACCGCTCTAAATTAAACAAGATATAAAACTGCTTTTCTGGAGTAAATTTGACATTTTGGCAGTCAAGTAATTGGCCGATATATATCGGTAAAATTAGCAGATACCGATAGTTCGAAATTTGTGAAAAACATGGCCGATATATCGGCCGGCCGAGATATCGGTCGGGCCCAGATATATGTGATGTATGTCTGTATGTTGTTAAATCTCTTCATTCATGACTTAAGGTGAAATATTTCAAATTTTTTGAAGCTTATGCCATGAAAATTTGGATCTTTTGTACAGAGCATCCGGCAAAAAACACCCATGCCACCGCTCAAAATGAAAAAAAATAGTAATTATTCAGAGGTCTCGTGTAGTTTTGTATCTAACGTACCGTACTTCTAGTGGGAGTAGCATAACAATTTTTTTATATGTCAATCCTAACCCCCATCTGATTACGCTGTCCAAAAATTGGTGCTCCCGAAGTATGCGAACCAAGATGGCGGACATCGGAACGTAACAGGTTAGGGTTAGGCGATAATTTTTTTCCAATTTCCCTTATTTTAGTCCTATTATCAGTTCGAAGACTAGCCAAGAGCCTCCCGTAGTATTTATACCTAAAATTATGGCCTAACCCTAACCTAGTACACATATTACATTCCGATGTCCGCCATCTTGGTTCGCATACTTCGGGAGCCCCCAAAAATTATGTCACTACGACATCACAATCACGTCAGAGAGCTTGCCATATAAGTACGATCACCCAAAATGGCATCGACGCCGACGATAAATAACTAACGTCATCAATCTCTCTCATATTAGGATCATCGTGACGAGAAAACGAGTGAAATAGCTGTTCGATTTCGGGTGCTTGTCTGCGCGTCTTGGCTGCCAGTTCGTATAGTTTCAAGGGCTCTATTCCGTCACTTTGACGTCGTAGTGACATAATTTTTGGATGGTGTAGTCGAGTGGGGGTTAGGATTGACACATGAAAAATTGTTATGCTACGCCCACTAGAAGTACGTTAGGTACGAAACTACATGAGACCCTTATTCAGTTAGGGTTAGGTGAGGGCTGGGAATGCAGATTGTGGTGGAAATTTAAATTCTGAAATCATTCCTGACCTGAACCCTAACTGGATATTTACTAATTTGTTGATTTAAAAAATGGTGAGGGTGATTTTCTCAAATCTCACATTTTTGCATTGGCACTTTAGAAAATTTTCAATCACCTATTTATACAGATATGAATAGTTAAGTTTATGTACATCTGTATTATAGTGAAAGTTGTATTGCATTCAGTTCCATTGATAGGAAAGTTTGGACAAAAGTCATTTTTGCAAGAAGTATATTGGCAGCCTTCCTGTCAGTGTTTATACGTGGGATTTAATATAAGAAATGTTTTCCTGCTGTACATGATTCATGTAGTATACATTTGCATTGGTAACAATACACTTGCAATTGTAATTATATTTCGACACTTGGATATTTGCATATGCACCCATATCACATATTACAAGTACTGTATAGTGAAGTGTCTTTGTTTAGAGACTGAAAATATTTGTAAGTAAAAATTGAGTCCAAGTTTATATTGATATTACAGACATTTCATATAACCCTAAATAATGGTGCAATGCATGCAAATTTTATACACTCAAAGAGTTCAATTATAATTATATTGTTATGAACTGCAAAGTTTTTTCAATGTAATTCTGCAATTACTCTGAGTAAAAACATGCATTTTTAATTGTGTATGTATGTACCTCTGTTATGCAATCTTTAATGAATTTTATGTTCTGTATTAAATGCTGTTATTTCACAGGATTGGATAATTCCACATTACAACAACAATAATAACAATCCAAACAGCATCAAGATGATGAAAAATCATTCATTGCCTGTCTTCAGTTACACAAAAATGGAGACTTGTCCTCCTTTGTCAACAATCAATTCACAGTTTGCATGGTATGACTTTTAGCTATTATTAATGCAGTTGTAAAAAAATTTGAATAGGATTAATGGTGTGTAGTGGTTTACTTTCCCGTATTTCCATTGAAATTAAATATTCTAGCTTAGTTATCAAGATTTTTTTAAGTGTAAATTAATATATAATAAAGAGATAAATTTTTATGAAGATTGCTTGCAGTGAGCATGAGTCACCCTTTCAAAAACTTAAATAAGTTGGACTCTTTTAAGCGCCGAAGAGACTTGACTTGATACTTGAGTCTTTGAAAAATAAGAAAAGTGTAATGAAAACAATTTTTGGAGAAAATTAAATATTTACGAGGAAGTTGCAGCAACAACTTGAAATAGACCGAATTGGTGCCAAACTAAATGCTGTCAAAACATACTAAATCCTTGTTTAATTTTCAAAATAATGTTGGTTTAATGCAAAATAAAAGTTTCAGGTGTCATCCATTCAAAACAATATATGAAATAAAATTAAAATAAAATTTTTTATTAAGAGGTGTTGTGTTAAAATATTTTAATCTCAATTACCTAAATCCTGCTTAACAAAATTAAGCAAAATTAGTAAAATGTAACATTGAATAGAAAATTTGATGTATTCTATTATTTGTTTTTTATAGCTTCATGATAGCGTAACTAAAATTTATTGCTAAGGGAATTTAATTATTCAGCATTATTTGAGATGATATTTCAAATTATGAATGTATTATTATTTCCGTGTTATTGGTATTTGGATACACTTCCAACAAGTCTATATATTTTCAAAGCATATCATTGTTTGAAAATGATGGATTCATACCTTTTTTAAATAACAAAATTTCTGGTTTGAGAGGGTAATAAAATTTATTTCTTATGCCTAGAGTATTCATGTTTAGTATTTGGACTGAGTAAATTTTTTTAAAGCTTTGTGAAACAAAATGCTTTCAATCATTAACTCCTCTACACCCTTATAAGTGTTCTTGAAACGATAGGATGAAATCTTGTTATACAGTGTTTTGAAAGAACTCTTGAGGTGCTTCAAAATGAAGTGTTTCCACTTAAATGTGTCTGTGGACTTTCGCTGGTGATGGTAATATTTGAGTCATATTGAAATATACTTGGTTTTAATGTATATATTCCACTTTTTAATAGTTTTATGATATCAAAGTAAGGAATATCAAGTTCTAAAGATTATTTACAAGCTGGCGCCATAGCAAGACTCAATTACTATCATCAAGTACAGATTTGATACACTTAGAATGTTAGCCTTCTTCGGCTGAGATAATCTGCACAATTCTATTCCAGTATTTCATTTTATAGCGCTTCTAGTTTTCAATTTTTTATTCGGGCATTTTGAATTTTCAAGAACTCTGTTTATTATTACTATTATTTTTGGCTATCTCTGTGAGTTATTCCAGCCAAATATTTTCTTTACTTAGTGCAAATAAGTCTCTTGTTGCCTGCCCAGGCATACATGCTAGTTTCCTATTCAAAACAGTATTTTTACATTTTATTTTATGGATTGTCGCTCTTTGACTAACTATTCAACGTAGCAATTTAAAATTCTTCTCTTTATAATAACATACTTTATATTTCTTTAATCAAATTATACAGGGCTGGACATGTTCTACCAGACCTTGTGCAAGAACAGAGTGATAGACTTCTTCGGCGGCTTGAAAGACCAAAAACTGCCGGAAATCGACTATTAAATCTTGGAAACAGTTAGTAGTCTAACATATTTCCTCATGTAGGATAAGTTTTTATATTTATCTGGGAAGAGAGAGAAATTGATAAGATGGCCTAATCACATGGCAAACCTAAGCCTCTCGTCCGGTTACCAGTCCATGTCAGGTATGGGATTTGATTTAGATGCCTGGACTAATGGTGGAAGAAGCCATATCTGACCAGTGGTTGTATGAACCACCCTACGACAGCAAGCAGTTTAGCAATCTTCTTTATAATTATTCCCTAAACTCGAACTTTCGATCATGTTCAGAGTGAGCCTGAAGAAGCCTGTTTTTCATGTACTTATGGAAACAGGTTCAAATTTACACCTAAAAAAAAGAAATTTTATTTTTAGTTGCGAGTCCTGCATGTAGGTAAATGAAGTTTGAATAACATTTGATTTTACAGACCGCATGAAAGGCAGGAAACTATCTCGACCTTCATCTGCAGTTTCGTACGCTAACTCTGTCAATAATTCTTCTGAGATAACTTCTATTTATCGCATGGGTAAATTTTTTACTCAATTTTATATTGCTTGGCTATACACTCGAGCATATTTTTTTATACGGGTGTAGTTCTGGCTACCTTATCATTGTTCCTAATCTACGTAACCACTGGTGAAGCACTCGAATTTGATTAACATGTGAAAAATTTGCATAATTAATCTACTTGTCTGAGTATAGATTTGTCTTTGTATTTATTATGTAAATGATTTGACTTATTCCTGTTATTATGGTTTCATAGGTGATGCTGCTCGATAACCATTACTATTATTCTGTATGTACAATGTGTATTTTCGGCATGTGTAAAACTGAACTACTGATACTGATGGTTTTGTAAATTTCCTATAATAGGATTTAATGCAGAGATTTGCTATCACAAATAAAGTATAAAACAATTCATTCATTTTTGATGGTAGAAAACAAAATTAGATAATATATGAACTGTGATGTGGGTGTTATTCTTCATATTAATTCTGTTTTCAGATTATACTATGGGAAATAGCCCTATCGCAAATGCTGAGGTGCCCCATGTCACACAAAATATAGACACTGTAAGGAGAATTTCACAGGAAAATTTGGAAAACGATAAAAGGTTGGAAAAAATTTATCAAACTTAATGTGAATCATTTCTTCTTGCTTGGTCCGTGCTTATATACTTATACTTTTCTGCAAGCAAATGAAGTTCTCAAATTAAGGTGGAGGGCATTAATATGATCATCAAGTAATATAAGGAAAAACGTTTCATTAGCACGCCCTTTCTTAGTCATGGTACTGCCTACTATATAATGTTTTTCTGTTGAAATACAATCTCATTATTACATAATTTCGGTATCGAATTCACTAATTAATAAGTACGGTAATTTTTCCTATTAGTTTATTTTTAATATTCTTTGTGATGCATTTCGCAGTGTTGGTATAACTCAGTTTATGTATTTTTGTATTTCAGCCCAGAGAGTGAGAGGAGTAGTAGCCCAGACTTTATTGCAAATCTTTATAAAGAATATGAGAAAAAACTTTCGACAGATCTTGGAAATGAAGTTATATCACCTCATGATAATAGGAGTCCCGAACTAAGGTTGTCACTTGGATATAGAGCAATAAATAAGCAAAACTGACCCATTTTGTCATTTTTGATCAAACTGTGGCCGATTTTAATTAATTCGGTTGATTTAGTCAACTCATTGACTTTATTTAGTTGTTTCAACATTTCACATTATATTCAACAATGGTAAATAAGAAGACTGTATCGATTTATTACTGTACTTCTTTTTATAGACATAAACACACACTTTTTATAATAGAAATTCTTTCGAGCGAGACTGTTAAATTATCCCATGCGAATCAATAGATGTTCAACAAATTTTATACATTGTGTTTTGATTTGTTGTGTGATTATTTCTACCTATTGTTTGAGACAATAGAGTAATAAACAAAGGTGACAAAGACAACAGACGTTTTTGTAAATTCAACAAAATGTATTCATTTCTATTGAGTGTAATTGTTTCCTCTCAACACAAATCTAATTGTCTTTTACCACATTGGTTTTTATTAATCTATTCATGTTGATACCAAAATCATTCATTGTTTTCATTGGGAAATAAAGCTGCTTTCGACCCTTGGTTACTGCTATGAGTAAATGATATTTTTTGTGATTTTATCACAATGTCAAACGATTTCTCTTGAACAGTTTGAAAAAATTTAAGTTTATAATAGGTAATTATTCATTATGTTTGACAAATCCTATAGGCCATCACTGTTTTTCAAATGCTAGCAAAAAAGATTCTAAAAATCGCAAAATTTTTGCTTGGAAAATTGAGAAGGACAAATTGTTCAAGGAATATAGTAAATACTTACTTTACTACTCAAATTGAAATAATTCATATCCAGAATTCTAAAACAACATTCTACGTAAATTTGATCGAAATTTAATATATCTCTTCAATCATGTCATCACCATGCCTAACCTAACCCTTTTGAACACACTATAGAGTAAAACATGACTGCTTACTACTTTCAATATAATATTTATGGCCGACAATAATTGGCAGCTGCATAGGTTTTCATTTTGGTAGAACTTCATTGCGGCCTGCTGATATCACATAAAATAACATTCCTATGATCAAAAACTCAGTATTCATTGATTGGTTAGTTGTTTTTATACTAAGAAGTGAGAACAGTAAAAAAATGATGTAAATGAGCAATTGATCATATTTTCAAAACTTGATTCATCTATATTTCAAGGTTTATATAGAGTTAATATGGGCTCTCATCGATTCCAATATCATAAATATATATATGCGCATCGTGTTATTCAAGGTGTGCTGAATTGCTTGTTTATGTATAACATAGCTTTGTAATTATACTTGAACTTTCTTGTTACAGTTACTAAGAAGACCCAGTGTGCAATTCAAAGTTGAACAAAAGAAAACACAAACTGAAAAATCATCTGAAGTATATTCTCCTAAAGGAAAAGAAAGAATCCACTGTGTCGTAAAGCTTCCCTGTGAAGAAAATAGTTCATCAAACTTCCAGAAAAATGATCTAAATAAATCAAAAAGGAATTTTGATTTGCGGTCGAAAAGTGAACCACCAAAATCAGATACATGGTTAGACTTGTCGGAACTTTGTCATCCATCCGATGGTGATGATGGTACAGACAGTGATCATGGTGAAATTGAGCTTCGTCGACCTTCTGTTGCTTCAGAAAGTTTATCAAGTCTAAAGCTATTAGATTTGATTAATGAATGTGATGGTGCACAAGAAAGAGATAATGCGTTATCATCGAAATGTAAAATCTCGAGACCAAGCACTACAAAGTAATATTTTTGCTATTTGCCTCACCATAGGTATCGTGTATCTTATAATAATAACATTTTGACACATTTGCCTATACGTAGGGTAAGTCCAATTGTTGTTTCTTTTATTGCACCGAGCACTCGATAATCTAAACTGAAAAAAAACAAAAGGCATCTGGGGCTCTCCTTTTAGATTATATTTCATCAGTAGCATTTTAGCAACATTTTGAGTTATGAATAAAAAATTAAAATTTTTTTTAATCGTGTTAGTTTTTTTTTCAATATACGCATTGGCATCGCTTATCTATTCAAAACTTCTATACTCTAATTTCATTGGTAGATTGATTTGGCATCCATCTCGTAATACTACAGAAAAATTCAATGCTTTGCCAAGCAACAGTTGTTGAAGCTTGTCTGCATATTGAAACAGTCTTGTTCATTGTTTAAAATTGTCTATCACCTGGTTATATTTTTAGACATTCTAGGAAGTCTAGACCAAAAAGCAGACACAAGAAACGAAAAACTTCTTCGAGTCAGGCTGAGGAAAGCACTAAAGAGTATTCAAAAGGTATTGAATGGATTTTTATGCATAAATCTTTTCTATTATCACTCATTGAACAGTTTCTCACTTTAATTCATCTCAAACAAGGAAAACCCGACTAGTCTGAATGTATTTTAAATCCAGCAGTGTTTAAAAAATGATAATAACTACATCTACACGGAGATGGTCTTTAAATTGTTGATCACTGATGGGAATGACAACTCTATTCAACGGTGTTTGAGCAATTGAAAGCATCGTATGTTGCGAACATATTGTTATCGTGAGCTCTACACTGCTTGGTTCCAAATTATACATAAATAATTTTCACATACAGTATCAGGAAACAAAAAATTTGACGTAACTTCTCGCCAAGCTCGAGCATCTGACAAACTAAGAGAAGAAATTGAGACTCAAATGTCCAAACTTGATTTTGATGGCAATACTGCGCGCTCAAACCAAAAGAATGAAGAATTGCTTATTGCATCAACTCCGAATAGTCAAAAAACTTTTTCCAATGATGTTATACCCAAAATAAAATCAAGTTCATGGACAGTAACCAGTCAATACTCTAATTACACATTACATTCCAAAAGTTCAATTCCGCTGAAAAAAATACCTATTCAAATATTATCGGACCCTTTCACAACCAATGTTAAAATTTATCATAGCAAGCAGGCTGCTTGTTACAATGGTAAGCCTAATCATTAGTTTTGTCATCTCCTGACTCCACTGGTATCTGTAATATCAAAGTGCAGCAAGCAGTGCATTCATGCAATCAGATCCTGTCTTTTATATAACTATTACAGTTGTGTGAAAATGAAAAAGTTTATATTTCGAGAGTATACGCTCAAAGCAAAGTCATATTTTCTCATTTATTTCTGAGTAAAGTCTTCATGACAACGTCTATTCACTGTATAAAAGAGCATTTGTTTCAACTACAATCTCACTGTGCTGATATTTTCAAATCATGTTTTTTTTACCTAATTTCAAGTTCTAAACTTTTGTAATTTCTTTATTTTACATATGTATTCCCATCATGTGTCTGTCTGTAAATGCATGAATTATTTTGAACTGTGAGCTGCTTATCTTTTCATTTTTATAATAAAAGAATCAATGTCAGAAATGAAAGGGTGTAAAGGTTATTTAAGACTGTTTCAGGCACTATCGTCTTTCAACTCCCTCATAGTTCCCAACCTTATTTCAAGCGAGAAAAATCATGTGACCGAATGATATACTGGTATTATAAGCGGCATGTAGTGCTTTTATGGCCGCAAAATTGAATGACTAATATAAAACAGTCACCATTATATAGCGTTTATTTTACAAAAATTAATTCAAAGATTTTTGAAATCGTTCAACCCGCATATAGTTACTACTGAGCAACAAACACTTCAATAAAACTTCCTAGAAAATGAAACCGATAACTTTTTTTTAATCTTTTGTTGAAAAAACAGGCGACGTAAGAAGATTTTCACATGCCGGTAGGTTTTGAAATACTGCTTTACAGACCTTACTGAATAAAAAAAAATGTCCGAGCGAAGAAACATATTTATCCCACGATGATTTTTGAATAACTGGTGTAAACCATCTGTAGCTATTTTGAACATTATCTATTCATGCGACCTAGCTACAAACTGTTTTACTTAAAGTGACAAGCTTTGGAGAAGTATGTTAAATTTTCGGTTCTTTTGATTTTTGCTATATGCAAGCTTTGTTCGGACACACACCTATGATATAAACTCACCAGAAGCAAGAGCACAAATGATTTTTTGTATTCTCCCCAAAACAATTGTTCATGCAGAGGAGCAATTATATATCCCCAAGTGCAATACAATAAGAGACCTAACAAATATTAATATATTTATTCATTTATGAAAATATTGATGGCAACAATATTCTGAAGTACCATTACAAATGATTACAAAATGAAACTATTCTGAATACTGATATTCCCAAGCATAATTTGTATTTGATAGTGAATTACTGCAAGGTAAGTAGTAGATAGAAACAGGCTGGTTTGGATACAATGTTAATTCCAATCAGTCTGATGGATATTCTTGTTGGCAGTAGTGTAAGTAGATATTTTACTGTTAACCATGTACAATGGCATAACTAGCCATTTTCCCTATGTGTGGATATGCTAGCTTGGTCCCCTACTACACACAACAGGAGCTATATAGCAACGAAAAAAGGAAATAACAAAATGCATCCTGAATATTTCTATCTGAAAATAAGCATTTAAAATACTCATCCTGTACCATGGTCAAAAAGTACGGTATATAAGACGAAAAACAATTTTTGTATCATAATAACTACACATCAAAAATATGACCATTGCCTGATCAAAATAATTAAAAAAGACTGTTTGCAGGCTGGCCACATCGGGCTCGCATGCCGGAGTTTGGACCATCCTGAATAACATAATACTAGCTTTTTTTATTCATTATTTTGGGAGGAATAAACCCAAACCAGTAGATAAATCTTCATCTGTCCTTATGAAAGCCTTATAAGCATAAAAACCAACGATTTAGTAGAATCAGTAATTGGCATCGAATTCCTGCCTTAAGAGCCTTTTCTCTTCTTCAACAAACATTTTGTCTCTGTTAGCCATTCCCATAGTTCTCTTTTTTGCTTCCTTGGATCGAAAAGAGGGTGGCTGTTGTTGATCCATTTTCTGCCGTTTGTTACCGTTATATGCGACCTAATGAATAGTAGTCACATTAAATTTTGATTTTTTCAAACATTATTTTACAAATAGAGAGTAATTTTGTGGGCTATTGGCCTAGTGGTTACATTAGACTTAACTAATATGGCATCGCAGGTCCAGGAAGTTTTGGGTCTTTTTAAAAAAAGTGGCTGCCTGTCTGTACAGAGCCTCGATCAGAGCAAAATGTATGAATTCTACATATAAATAATCATACATAAATTCAAAGTTGAAATTCATTAGCTCTGCAGTATTCACCTTTTCTGCCTCCAGATCAGTGAAGAGAAATCCTTCTAAATCTTCTCCACCTATATCCTGTGGTTTCACCCTTTTGATATTTCCTGATTTATCCATTGTTTGATACATTTTAGACCACTGAACTGCCTGATCAATGTATTCATGTGGGCGACCTTGAGCTGGACCTATAAAATGTAATTTCAACCAAACATAATGAAATATTACTATTTATTTCGTTTATGATATGGGCTTGCTTCAGGTATGTTCACTGAAAGTGAAAAACGAGATGCTTAAGGAGTCAAGAATTATTACAGTTACCTTTGAAACTCTTGCAAATGCTTTCAATTGGCAATGGCGCAAAGTATAAAAAAGTGAAGAGCATTACATCATTTCTAATTCACTCAAATGTCTTCTAATATTTCAAAGAGGTAAAAGCTTTCATGGTAAGATAAATAAAGTTACATACCATCTGCAACATTAGGAGCAGAAGCTCCAGGTACTTGTTGTGTTAAAGTTGATTGCTTTGTTCCATCTTTGGTCTTCACAGATTTTTCAACTGTAGGAAGTCTGTTTTCCCAAGGCTTGTATTCTTTTTCAGGCTAAGAACAAAAAATATATTATACATTGCAATATATTATAAACTTATGTCCTGGTACAGAGATTTTCTGTTGAAAAACCAAAAAGGGCTTTATGGTTGACCAAATCCAACTTGTCATTCCATAATCATATGAATGCTTTTGTATGTTGATTTATAATAATATAATTCACTTGGTCGCAACAACAAAAATTTATACTGTGTTGAAGATATATTGTGCATGTGGTGTTACGAGTGAAGATGTTTATTTAACTATAAACAAAACATCATGTACTGAACAATTTGAGAAATAATGGAAGATGGTCGTCAACTCATTAGTTCATAATATCTATCAAATTATGCTTACTTACACCAGTAATAATGTAACTTAGATCCTCACTACACAAAATAACGGCAGCAGTAATAGGTCAGAAACTTATATTTAAACATTGTATCAAGCCTTAGGTAAGAGACAATGCCTCTGAACATTCCGTAGACTGGTCAAGGTATATTTTTACGAACATATGAAAATGATTTACCAGTTCAGGTGCTTTCTTTGTCAGTTTGTCCCAGTCCACATCCTGGCGAAGTGGGTCTATTGTAAACTCTGGTCGTTTAGCTGATGCAAGTACTGCCATAGGTGGTGGCAATTTTTTGTTGCCTGGTTTGACTGTTTGTTGAGCAGGCTTAGTAACAGGTATGCTATTAGCAGCCTCTTTATCAGAATTATCATCTTCAGAATCGGAATCATCAGAATTGGCAGCAAAAAAAGAAAGTGGATCAGACATAGTTTATAAAGTTAAGTTTTGTGCAATTCAAGAATTCAGCTGAGAGTTTCCCCCCTCGTAACTCTAGCTTCAATGTATTCTATGCGCTTTTCAAGTTTTGTTAATTTTTCATTCAGTGTTGCAAGACGTGAACGACAAGACAGATCAAATCCGTTGAGAAAGTCTGCAATTTTTCTTATGCTGCTTGTTATTACTTCAATATATTCCCGATTTGCCCAATCTTGTTGAATCTCTCTTTGTATAACGCTTCCTCCACCACGATTATCCATTTCTAAGCACAAAAACCATGAATAAAATCTATTATAAGATCTGGAAAACAGAAAAAAACGTGATTGGCAGTTTGAGATTGAAATAAAGATACATAGCATGATAAAGAACAGATACATGAAAACTGATTGATTTTAAACCCATAATTGGGCAAAAAAATTTTAACACATACTTAACACATTACAGATCAAATGAGTGATTTTGCAAATTTAAACTGACAGACAGTCGCATTAATATAACAATCAATGGCAATGCAGCAATAGTAGTGAGAGCAGAAACAGAATAGGTTATTCAGTGATACTGTTCGACTATGCAGATTGAATGATACAGAATTACTAATCCATTTTCTATTTAAAATTCATCATGTATTGTACGTTTTATTGGTCCTTCCTTCTTATTCCACCATATCATTTGTTTTCGACTCAATATAGTCAAGAGCCTTCTGTTTTACTTCAGCTACAGATTCATCACTCCCATATTTGGTTTCAAAATCAATGTTACGTTTGAAAAAACTTCTCATATTTTTAGTTGATAAATTTAGAGTTGTAACACGCTCAAACACTTCTCTTGCATCTTCCAACTTGTCCACTTTTATCAACATATCGATATAAACAGACCAAATATCAGCCCGTTTCGGATAATTACTGAGAGCATTTTCGAATAGAACTCTGCCTTGTTCAGTGTCTCCGCATTTATATTCCAATTGGGCATACTTTGAAATAATTTCAAGGTGAACATTCTTTTCAAGACTCTGTAAACATCTTTTGAAAACTTCATTTGCCTTTTCTCTCTTTCCTCTTTGCATAAGATGGCTGATATAAAGTATCCAGGCAGATTTATTGCGCTTGAATTTCCTTACTATTTTTGAGCACAACTCTTCTGCATTATCAAACTTGTTCAACCTTTCAAAGGTAGAAACCATATGAAAATTAACTTTCAGAGGGTCATTATGCTGGGTCGCAGTATCTATCACTTTTGTCAGTGATTCACTGCTACCAAATCTAGTTTCGAGGTTAAGAAGAGCTGCCCATACATTCCACTTTTCTTTTTCTTCGTGAAAATCAATCACTTTTAATGCTCTTTCAGCAACTACTCTTGCCTTTTCAACTTCAGTGGCACGAAGATGAAATGCCATGTAGCTGACCCATAGCATTGAATTCTGGGGACTGGCAAGTACAAGCTTGTCCCAATCCAAGGCTGTCTGTGGAGCATTGTCCTCTAACATTTCCTCCTCTTTTGTTCGCAGATCTGCTTCTTCACGATCTTTTTCTGCTTCAATTTCTCTTTTGCTCTTCTTGTTGACAACTTTTTCATCACTCAATTCCGCATTATCGTCATCATCTGAGGAATCCATAGAATCACTTGTTTCCTTTGCCGATGTAGAATTTATTGACTCCCAACTAAAACCTGGGTCTTCAACACTATCTTCATGCTGTGAAACATTACTTAGGTAACGAGGTGGGGTATCCAATGTTGGTGATTCCTCTTCAAGTCCAGAATCAATGTCATCAGTCTTCTTTCTTTTCTCTTCAGTGCCACCAGTTTCTTCTTTTTGTTTTTTGCGCCTTTTCCTTCCCTCAATTTTGTCAACCAACAGACCAACTTCTTTTCTTTTTTGCTCTTTTGGCTTACCATGTCTTTGTGGAAGACCAAGAGCTTCAGGAATAAGATCTGGCAAACCAGTATCCCCTTCTAACAATGACAAACTAACTTTTCCCTCCATTTTAGACACTTCAATTACTTTACATGTAACAAGAGTCCCTTCTTTCAACACTTCTTCTATCAGACTTGTATCTTTTATGAAATATTTTGAAATCTTTGTCATGTCTACTCTTCCAGTGATGGTCCGGGACAAACTAACGAAAACTCCAGAATTTGAGACGATTTTTACAAAACCACGAAGTATTTGGCCAGAATGTATTTCTTTGGCTTCCGAGATCTCTTTATCCTTTATATTACTTTGGTCATACTCCTGTGCGAGTCTAGATTTCCTCAAAGAAAGGGCAAGTGATTTCCTATCTCCACATGACACAATACTACAGCGAACAACCTGGCTAACTTCGAAGTCTTCAAATGGACGAGTAGCAAACACATCTGCAGATTGTGTGATGTGTACTTTTCCAACACCACCTTTAGGTAATTTGATAATCATGTTACTTGGAAAAATTTTGCAAATCTTTCCATTTGTGATGCAATCTTCATTCAGTTCAGTAACATCTTTCTGAGTTTTTCTATCAATCATAGCACCTTTTCCAGCGAGCGTGACAGTATTGTGCATCAGTTTGTGCACGATACAATGCAATACAACAGGCTTCTTGAATTTGTGAGAAGATTTCAATATTTTCATTGGATTATCAGAAAGCAGTAAGGTAGGTAGAAATCCTTTTATAGCAGGAGTAATTTCAACATGAATTTCATCTTTCGAAGGAACATATTGATGAGAAAAAGCTGTAATACATTGACCTATCTTCAAATCCTCAAATTCAATGCCAACTGGAGAATCGAGTAAACTTAACTCAGGAACACATCTCCTAGCATTTCGATTAGTAATTGCAAGATAACGGTGTGTACGTACATCACGAAATCCTATTACATTACATTTTAATTTGTCCCAAGGGCGGTATTTTGTAATCTTCGAAAAAGCACCATGTTCATGTTTATGTTCTATCTCTGATATGTGCAATCTTCCAGTGACTGGTTGTCCACGGTAACCACCTTCCAATTCAGACTCCGTAAACCTGACAAGAATAGTATTCATTCGTACAGAGCGAATGGTACCTTCAACTTTTTGACCCACTTGGAGGTTTCCAAAATTTATATCACCCTGCAAGGACACATCAGAGCATTCCGATTCTTCTCTTTGGCGTTTTACACCATGAGTAAAATGCTTTTTGTTGTGGGAAGTTTGAGTAGCAGAAACGACATTCGCTTGATTTATTGGTTTACATACTGTAACAGTAATGCTGTCATGTTGCTTCCAAGGCCACAAGTTCTCGAATATGGGATGATTGGGATGGGTTCTATTTAAAAGTAAACCAGCATAGGCGTTCTCCAGATCGAAAACAGTCGACACATCTTCATTCATGTATGCCACTGTTGCCTTCAAGACAGTACCATTATTATGCTTCACTGTACTTCCAAGTAATTTGCTATTAGCTGACAATGTTATACATTTTGATACAGGGTTTACATCAAGTAGAGCTGCATTCACATCTGTTGACTCTTCATTGGTATCTATATCTATCACACAACACTTATAATTTTCAGGGAAAAGTGAACTGCTACACATTGCCACACCATTTTCGCTTGGTTTGGAAGTCAAATGTACCTTCATTTGCTTACCAATTGCCACTGATTTTGGCCATGAAGAAGAACAGCTTCGCATTATATCTGTTAGCTCTTTCAAGTAATCCGCTGTGAGTTGTTCTTGTGGACAATCAGAAACTTTCAAACTGACAATAAACCTTCTTTTTTCCATATCCATTTCAACTATTTTAGCAACCACCGACTGCCCTTCTTGGTAATATCCATCAGATGTAAGGAGGTAGCGATCAGCCATCTTTGATTTTGGACACAAGCCTAAAAGACCACCGTAAACTTGAACAAACACTCCATACTCGGCGATATGATGTACAAAACCAGGTGTTATCAAATCTTCTTTCAGGTCAGAAAATGTAAGCGTTTGATTTGCATTATCTTCAGCGTTCTCTTTCATGCTCTTGAATTTACCTACAAAAGAATTTTTCTTGGTAAAGATGGGCTGTTTCTTTTTACCAATGGGTAAACAATCCTCTAAAACAGTATGTGGAGTGATAATTTCATACCATGAATGTGCCAGTGATGGAAAATCAGACAAATGCATCAAGGGCAGAAATCCTTTGGTCCACAAGTCCCTTTGCTTATCATCATCACATACAACAACTTCGAAGCCACCTTCAATTTTATTCACCACCTCTAGATTCACCAAGCTAATATTAGATACGGATGTATGATCTTCTTTTTTGTCTTTTGGCTTAGGTCTCAGAATAAATGAAAATGATGCACGTTCTGCTTCCAAATCACAACTCAAAAGCCGGCACTTCATAACCTGTCCAACAAAAAATATTTTTTCAGGATCTTCCACCAATTCTGCAGACAATTCAGAGTTGCGCACAATGCCATGTACATTGTTATAAAAATTCACAAAAACCCCATATGGTTTGATAGATGCAATGTAACCATGAGCAATGCAACCAGGCTCTAACTGATCATAACTAACGATAGTAGGAAGTCGTGATTTCAAAAGAGTTCTCTTGTGAGTCAGATGTATTCGTCCAGCAGCTTTATCGACGTACAAAACTTTGCATGATATTACATCACCTTTTGAAAACTTTTTCTCAGGATGGTTTAAAATAATGTCAGCCATGTGGATTTTGGGCACAAAGCCTTTTACTGGAGTAAAGGCATCTGTACCTAATGTTACAACAAGTCCACTGTCGAAAATACCTGAAATAGTACAATCCATGACTGTCCCAGGAGTAATGCTGTCATAGGTTAAAAATTCACGTTCAACCATACTTTTCTTCAAACTCAAAATAACAGCACCATCCAGACTTGAACTATGCAGAACCAGTGCTGGGAAAGAATCACCTTTTCTGATTACTTCTGTAAAATTAGTTATCTTCGCATCACTTACATACTTCATAGGGCAAAAAGCGCGAGTTCCATTTGACTCTCCAATCATTAACATAGCTCCCAATCCATTGATGCACTTTGTAACCTTAGCTGAGCATTTGTGTCCCCGAGGAAAATGATTCATGTTAGTTTCTATCATCTTCAGTCTTGTATCATTGGTGAACAAAAAGTGATTGGTACTCAATGAAACATGTTTTGTAATAGGGTTCACATACAAAATACAGCCTTTGATCCGTTTGTCAATTCTCTCTTTTTCAGGTTGATCCTTTCCTTTAGTCGTTTTGCGTTTTTTCTTCTTCCCAAAATTTTTATCAAAGTCATCCTTTTCTAAGCGTATTTTAGACATATCACAATCAAGAGCACAAACTGAAGCATTAAAATCCAAGAATTTTCCAACTACGCCAGGCTTTAGTTTTTTTGTTGGATGGAACATTCCCACCATTCCAGGTTGCAGCGTATCCAGCGAAACTCCATTATCCAGTTTTAAAAGTGATTTTTCAATTTTTTTCTCATCTAAAGACAAAAGTACAATAGTTCCTTCTCCTCGAATACTTGTAATGACAAAACGAATGACAGCACCAAGTTTCAATTTTCGAGCACCAATTTCCCCAGTCGGTATAAATGCATTAACATCATTTTTTCCAATATCAATAGTATAACCATGGTCTTCTTCTGATTTTACAGCACCAGAAATCATCTGTCCAACAAAAAAACTCATTGTGGAGAGATATTTATTTACAACAGATGGTTGAAGAGTGAGATGTAGTGTCGTAATCCCTGTTGGATTAACTACAGAACAAACAACAATATCCCCAACTTGAAACATATCAGATAAAGGCGTAAGCTGCTCAGAATCTTGCTCAAGATGCTTTCGTATTTGCGAAGTATATATATCAGATATATGATTAGCTTGTACTTGACCAGTATTACAATGAGGTATACCAACAACAAGTTGCAGTTCCTGTATCTCACGAATACACCCCAACAGCAGTGTTCCCTCTTGTACTCTTTTGCAATGCAAAAAATCCACATTTATTTCATCCATCCCTTGTAACAATCCATCCACATCTTTAATACCATGACTTTTGATTATTTCATCTTTTTCTTTTGGTTTTTTCTTTTCTTTTGTAAAATGCCCACCCGTAGATGACTTGCTTCCTTCTGAAAACAGAGAATCAACTGCGGCTTGGCGTTTGGCACCCTTCTTCTTAAAAGTCGATGGTTCACGCTTTGCTTTTCCTCTCGGAAATAATATTTCGTCCATAGTCGAAAAATTAGAGTTACGAATGTAATTTAACTTTTACCAAAATTTCTGCTGTATAAAAAAGATAAACGAATAAACATTAGGAAAGAAAAAAAGGTTTCTGTTTTACCAAAAAAAGTCAATTTTTCTCAAAATTCCAACAATGTGTAATTTGCAAAGATAGAGAAACAACAGTAATAGAAAATAATACATACTCACATCACATAATATCATATTAATGAGTTCTCATGTCTTTTCAAATTAGGGTTTTAAACTACAACTCGTAAGTTGTGATACAAGATATTGCAGGAACAATTGACAAACCAAATTACTCAGCATCTATTCAAAATGACCATGGTATGTTTAGTTTTGATAAACAAAATGCATATAAGATTACTCAAAAAATTTACCATTGTCAGGGAAATGTCATGATTGTTTAAAATATGAAACACGTTATTGTAAAAATAGACCATTTAGATTAATTGAATTCTAATTACCGGTATTGATATTTCAACATCCCCATACACGATAGAGGTTGTGTGCATGGGTATGTTTACCACGAGTCCAATTAGATTCAAACCAAACTTATAATCTGTAACTGTGCGTTGAATATAAATCAGTTCAATTGTTCTAACTGTTTGACCAAACTTTCTCGTTCTTTTATAGCTTTCAATGCACTTTCTTTTTCCTTTTTCATCAAATTTCTTTTTTTCTGTCGAGCAGCAAAAACCTTTCTGTAATGTTCAGTAACTTCAATGTTTGTTATTTCAATATTTTTTCTCAATTCTTGTTTTTTCATATCATCTCTGGAAAGTTTCAAAAGTTGTGAAACAATTGTCCTATTTCTATCACCTATTGCCCTCAATTCTTGTTGACATCGTTTCAGTTCCAAAAGAACTTCATCTTCATCTTTATCATTTTCAGAAAAATGATCAATAAGACCTTGTTCATATAGTTCAGCCTTTATTCGGGCCTCCAGTTTTGTGGTATGGGGAGAACTAGATGCCTTGCCATTTTTGGAAGCAACATTTTGGTCATTGTTCGTAAGAGCTTCAAATGCTTTTCCATCATTGGCAAGACCAGAATCCAGTGGCGCTATTATATTTTCTTGCACGAAAGCAGAAACCAATCGCTGGGTAAGTGACCCATATGGGCATGGTTCTGCATCATTCAAATTTTCTGCTGTTTTTTTCATTATCCTCTGAATAGATGACTCAGTATTACTATTATTTTTTCCAATTCTACCCCCTTCTTTTTCCTCCATTGCCAAATCTTCTTCTGCCCAAACTTGACTGAAATGTTTGCCAAGAGGGGGAATTTCAAAATATTCCTCAGAAATTGGTTTTTCCATTTTCTCTAAAAGCGAAATTGTTTCTTGTGGTATGGGCCCACAGTATGTATCAACCATTTGCCAAAACTTATTAGGAACTTCAGCATTCCTTTGTAAAACGGGTAATTCGTCATTTGTTTCTGTTTCAATGCGAGAGCCTTTTGCCTTCGACCTGCCAGCACCACTTGGTGATGACGTTGAACTATTCAAATGAAATAAGGGTTTTATAGCATGAATATGAGATGATGAGTCTGATGTTTTCATCTTTTTGACTGGACGATCTTCAACTATTCGAGAGCGCTTATGCTCAGTATCTTTGCCTCTGGAAACTTTTTTGTCTTTTTTATTGTCTTGTAGGTCTGACAATATGCCAATCTCCGAGTTCAATTGTCTCATCCTTTGTGATGCAGCGGCAAGTAGTTGTTCCAACTCCATTTGTAAAGAATCTAATTCATCCAATGATACTCCATCATCTTTATGCCGATTAACGATATTTGTGTATCTTGGACAATTTTTAGCATGATCCACAGGCTTCACATCAGGAAATTGTAAGAAACAATCTTTCAAGTCCATTGCAATAATGTTACTGTATTATACAAATGCCAATACTATATCAAAAGTATGGTTTGTTAATTAGAGATAAGGTTAGAACTATTAAATATGCACCATTTTATTTAGGATGCATGATTGCCAATCAATGAATAGTAAAAATTAAGGTTGCAATACACCTTGTTTTACTGGACATGTTCTGATTTTCGCCATTCAATTTATTGTGAAATTGAATGTATGTAGGACACAGTGCTTAAATTCCAAGATGTTCCGACATTTGATTCAATAAAAATAACAATATATGTATCTGAATGAGGGTGTTTGACACTACGGCAGGCAGATCACGTCATGCTTGTCTCAATGATAATTTAAATCAATAGCAACGTGCGTGATATTCTGATAAAATTTATTTCCTTTGATAAATCGAACTATTTTTTTCCGGGGTGTCCAATGATGATGTTTTGAGGATTGCACTTCTTTTTAGTTTATTGTGCGGTGCCGGTGTGCTCTTTTGTGCCGATATGAAGGCCCAGATTGTCTCATAAAAGAGGGGGTTGCATTCACTGTTATAATTGATGTCTCTTAATGTGGGGGCTATTCTTGGAATCAGAGAACTGTGCCGTACTGAACGTGTATGAAATAAAAACAATATCTGAGATTTTCTCAGGTCACTTAAAACGTATGAAATATTGCAGAGTCGATTCACTAACAGTATTTCATTGTGACTGTGAATTTGGATATTTTAGAATTCGACCTTTTTCATATAAAATGTCATTTTTGCAACTTGAAATTGTTAGTCAGTAATTTCGGGATATTTGTTTTGCGCTTTCCAGAGTATAATTTAGACAAATTAGGAATGTCAAGGCCAGGGATTGATGGATAGCCCTGGCAGTCTTTATTTTATGTGTCTGTATTGAGTTGTCTACTTATGTTGGTGACATCAACAAAGGGTAGGTATGCTATATCTCTTTTCTCGGTGACTACATGAATTTAGTAGGGCACATTTCTCTGATTTCCAAGATATCCCGATATTTGGTTCAATAAAATAAAAACCTTATTTATCTCTGAAACGTGGGTGTCTGGCACGATGGCAGATCGTGCCCTGCTTGTCTCGAAAATAATCTAAATCAATCGCGGCCATCACATATTCGAAATTGAGTTTTTTGCTAAGACACTTGAATGTTACGCGCACGCTTGAACGTTATAATTTTTTTTTTCTTCTGTAATTCGGTTTATCTTTTTTCCAATGAATCCTAAGGTGTCGTCTTTAGATCACACTTTCTTTTAGTTTATTGCGCTGTGAATTTTGCCGATATGGAGGCACAGACTGTCCCGTAAAGGAGAGGTTTGCACTCACTGTCATAAGTGATGTATTTTAATGTGAACTCTATTTTTGGAATTGGAGAACTGTGGAATTGCAAAGACTTTATGTTCTCTAGTGCCAGCCTCCATCTACTTTTTGTATGGGCCTCTTTTGTGACTAATCTCAGAATTCAGGCATGTCTGTCAGTAGACACACATTTCTGCATTTACCTACAGGTACCTGTAACAGTAATATGGCTCTATGACGAGATTTTACATTGGCGTGGTAAGGTGGGGGCTAGGATAGGATTTACATATCTATTCTGGCGGAGATGAAAGTTGATAACATGGCTTATCCATATGGCGAACCACAACCTCTCGTCCGGTTACCATTTCCATGTCAGTTAGGGATTAGTGATTTGTTTTTCGGAAGCATGAACTTGGAGGAAGCTGTAACCGACCAGCAGTTACGTGAACCACCCTACGGCGGCGATAGATAATAATTTATTTCCGATATACAAGTACATATTACAGTAAGCATAGCAAACAACAATAGGCATAAAAATATATACGGACGAGGATGGACAAGAATTCAAAGGTCAACCGACCCCTAAGGAGAGATTCTACCAGGACAGGACACTCTAAAGCAGGCATCATAATTACAATAAGGAGAAAATAAATTTGAGTTTTAAGCCCGTTTAGGAGGCCTCAGAAATCAATTCCCCAAAAGTACAGAAATAAGAACAAAAATTACAAGGAACAAGAAACGGGAACATCACATAATTACGCAGATCATAATGTTGTTTAATAGGAATAAAAAATGTGAAAAAAAAGAGAAAGAATAAGAAGGGCGTAGGGCCAAATATAATTTCCTCAAATTTAATTTTACTTTATGTTAGACAATAATCAAATCGTGACAATGAGGCAATTTCTATGAATGGGTGAAAAATTAAAAATACCATATTTCCAAAGCTATATAGTACATATAAACACTTCAGACTATTTATAACAGCATCTTCAATAATTTTCACCGAGGCATACGAAAATCCATCTATAAAAATGGTGAATTCCTATCCATTTTGTGAATCTGATAGCATACACGGAGATTTGGACGATATTGCATCATACTGTCATATTATAATCGGCCAAGGCGCCAATAAACGCTGTTTTAATTTGCATATAGGGTGGTATCAATCAAAGAATAAAAATTACAAATGAAAAAAAGAACATCGCATGATTGCGCAGGAGGAGTCCAGCAATCCTCACGCACCTAATCATACCTGCGAACCTGCCAACCCACGCAAAGTAATCAGCGGTGTGGTGGTGAGCGTATTCCTAACACTTAACACGTTGAGCCACACCGCCGCGCGCGCCTAGGAATAACATATGCGAAAATGGTTAGACCACGCTCACCCCGAACAGTCTGACAGTACCTATCACTGTACTGTACAGCTGTACCATGTACCGGGACTGTACACCGTCTGACTGGTACCGGTACTAAACAATCATTCGCCAAAATAATTAGTTTCATTGAATTCAATAAATTAATGATACCGGTACGATTCCGTACGGTACAGCACAGTCGTGCTGCACCTGGCGAGAGCCTAGTAGTGACATACCGGTACTGCTTAAATTACTTAAACTGTCAAAGACAATTACCACAAAACCAGGCTGCAACTAGCGAACTATCAAACCTCTGTGAAGCTAGCAGCAAAACACGAAATTGTGACTGACAGAATCGCAGAAAATACCCACGCGTAAAATTGAATGTTCCCCATGATTTTTAAAATAAAGTGTACATTTTGATTAGTTTCACAATAGCAAATAAAGCAAAACAATCATTAACTACACTCCTCGTATTGTTAATACATAGTAAACAAGCTAAAGCGACTGCTACAGTGCATAAAAAATTTTTATACTTTTTTGAGAGTTGTTTAAAAATGACTGAATTTTCTTCGTTTAGGACGGTCGTTTCATGAAAACCTCCAATAAAGGCAGCATTGCAACACCATTGGTAAGAAGTAGAAACCTCAAAGATTCGATTTCATTATGTCAAAACAGTCTCAGCACGTTTTGACTTGGCCATATATAATACTAAGCATAGCGTATAATTTTCAATTTTATGCACAATGTATATACAACAAATTTAAAAAATTTTGTATTTCAACTAAATTTACTGGATAGTTGATCAAAGAAGATATTTTTCTCTTTGTCACACAACAATAATGCACTTCATTTAACTTAGAAAGGGTTGGGGAAAGTCTAAAATACCAAAAAAAAAAATTACGCACTCTTGTGGATTCTTTAATAAATTTCACGAAATTATCGTTTTTGAAAGGTCGATTTTTTAAAAACCGCCGATAAAGGCAGCACTATGACACATTCTGAGAAAAGCAGATACCTTATAGATTTGATTTCATTATGTCTGAACAATAGCAGAACGTTTTGACTTAGCCATATATAATACCAAACGTAGCGTGTATTCAAAATGTTATAAACAATGCAGACGTAACATATTTAGAAGGGGTTTAGTATTTCAACTAAATTTACTAGATATCTTATGAAACATCTTTTTCTCTTGTACATACATATATACTATACGTTCATTAAACTTGGAATAAGTTGCGAAAAGTATAAAATACCAAAAAACATTTTACATCCTCTTGTGGAAAATTTTCAAAATTTCAAAAAATTATCGTATTTGAAATAGTGATTACTCGAAAACCGCCAATAAAGGCAGCAATACGACACATTCGGAGAAAAGCAGATTCCTTATAGATTTGATTTTAATATGTCAGAACAGTAGCACCACGTTTCGACTTGGCCATATATAATACCAAACATAGCGTGTATTCTTCAACTTTTGAATAATGCTGACGTTAAAAATTAATAAAGCTGTAGTATTTTAAACAAATTTACTGAATACTTGTTCAAATATAATTTCCTACCAGTCACACATCAATACTGAACAAAGTGAGAAATATATTTGATCCATTATCCAGTAAATTAAGTTGAAATATAAGCTTTTTAAGTTCGTTACGTCCATTTTAATATAAAATTCTGAAAACACGTTATGTTTGGTATTATACATGACCAAGTCAAATTGTGCTGTTACTGTTCTGGTATAGTGAAGTCGAATCTATAAGTTATCTGATTTGCTCCGAATGTATCGTGGTGCTGCCTTTATTGGCAGTTTTCGAGAAATCGCCACTCCAAAAACGACAATTTTATGAAATTTCGAAAATAATTCACAAGAGGGCTTGAAATGATTTTTTAGTATTTTATAATTTCCGCAACTTATTCCAAGTATAATGTACGTACAGTATTGATGTGTTAGCGAGACAAAAAAAGTTTGATAAATTATCTAGTAAATTTAGTTGAAATACAAAACTCTTTTTAAATATGTTATGTCTGCATTGTTTTTTAAAATTTCTAATAAACGCTATGTTTGGTTGTGGTGTTAGTATTTCTTTACAGTGTAATTATTAGATAAACAATGTACTCTTGATTACCCTAGCTCTGTCGTACTGCATACTTTACTGTTTGCGTGTTATTTTATTGTTTACAGTGTTAAGTTGTGGTAGTGGTGTTCTTATGTTTAATAAAGCCTAGAATCGGTATCCTGTTATCTTTCATAACATTGGTATTATATATGGCCAAATCAAAACGTGCTGCTACTGTTCTGACATAATGAAATTGAATCTATAAGGTACCTGCTTTTTTCCGAATGTGTCGTAGTGCTGCCTTTATTGGCGGTTTTTGAGAAATCGCCCGTTCAAACACGATATTTTTTTGAAAATTCTGGAAAAAATCCACAAGAGGGCGTAAAATCATTTTTTGTTATTTTAAGATTTGCCCACTTATTCCAAGTTTAATGAACGTACGGTTTGGATGTATGACCAAGAGAAAAAAGTATTTGATAAATTATCCAGTAAATTTAGTTGAAATACCAAACCGTTTTTAAATATGTTATATCTACATAGTTAATAAAATTGAAAATTATACGCTATTTTTGATGTTATATATGGTCAAGTCAAAACGTGGTGCTACTGTTCTGACATATTAAAATCGAATCTATAAAGAATCTGCTTTTCTCCGAATGTGTCGTATTGCTGCCTTTATTGGCGGTTTTCGAGAAATCGCTATTTCAAATACGATAATTTTTTGAAATTTTGAAATAATCGACAAGGGGACGTAAAATGTTTTTTGGTATTTTATACTTTTCGCAACTTATTCCAAGTTTAATGAACGTACAGTATATATGTATGTCCAAGAGAAAAAGATGTTCCATTAGATGTCCAGTAAATTTAGTTGAAATACCAAACGGTTTTTAAATATGTTAAGTCTGCATTGTTTATAAAATTTTGAATACACGCTATGTTTGGTATTATATATGGCCAAGTCAAAACGTGCTGCTACTGTTCTGACATAATGAAATCCAATCTATAAGGTATCTGCTTTTCTCCGAATGTGTCGTAGTGCTGCCTTTATTGGCGGTTTTTGAGAAATCGCCTTTTCAAAAACGATATTTTTTTAAAAATTCCGGAAAAAATCCACAAGAGGGCGTAAAATCATTTTTTGTTATTTTAAGATTTGCCCACTTTTTACAAGTTTAATGAACGTACATTTTTGCTGTATCACCAAGAGAGAAAAGTATTTGATGAATTATCCAGTAAATTCAGTTGAAATACCAAACCGTTTTTAAATATGTTATATTTACATAGTTAATAAAATTGAAAATTATACGCTATTTTTGGTATTATATATGGCCAAGTCAAAACGTGCTGCTACTGTTCTGACATATCAAAATCAAATCTATAAGGAATCTGCTTTTCTCCGAATGTGTCGTGGTGCTGCCTTTATTGGCGGTTTTCGAGTAATCGACGTTTTAAATACGATAATTTTTCGAAACTTCGTATTTGCGGAATACTTGAAAATTCAATTTTCGCTCAGTTGGTCTTTTCTTAAACACTATATTTTTCGTCAAATTCATTGTATTCAGTCAGTTTGAAGATTTTTCATGTATTTCCGTGCTAAAATTATATTTTGATCAACTTGAACACTATTTGCGCGTAGAACCTATATTCAATGTGTAAAAATATTCTGGCTGAAAGTGCTGCTAGCTTCACAGTGGTAACTATCAATCCTTGTTGGGGGTGGGCGGTGTGGAGCATCGTGCGCCCGAGCAGTTCTTACCACTTCATGGCGGTTTCTGCCACGAACGAACCGCGGCGTCTCATGCCATGGTTTTATGGCGCCATGGACCTTTCCCCGAGTATCGACTTTCTTGTTTACTTCGTGACATTGGCCAATCAGCAAGTTGCAAAAAGTGACGTAACAATGCCCCCTTATACTTATATACTTATACTTTTCGCATCCGCTCAGACATTTTTCTTACTCAGACAGATTTTCAAGCGTGGTTGTAAACATTACCTCGTTTTCGCGTTTTTAAATTCTATTCGTTAGTTTTCAGTTGTGTTTCGGAAACTTGAATATAAATCAGATAATTCA